CAAGGGAAGAGAATGCTCAAGCAGGGAAAGTGCATTAAAATAACTAGCCCCCCCCCCACACTGTTATTGATGAAATCAGAAATCAGTGATGATGGTGAAATACAAGTTGAATCTCACGGTGGCTTGAGCTTGGGTTATTGAGAAGGGAGTGTTCCGGAAAAAAAAAATGTAGAAGAAGAAAGTAGGCTTTGCATTATCCCGTCTCCTCCGCGCCGTATAAAAACCCTGCCTCCTGTAGCTCACCAGCACTGCCCCTGTCTTTCCATCCGCGAGGGTTTTCCCCGAGCGACGGGAAAAGAAGCTAAGCCCCGGATTGTGTCCCCGTTTTAGAAAGGTCCCGGGAAGTCACCCGGGATTCATTCAAGTCGCTTTGGACACTTCCGTTCTGCCCACGTCCCTGAGGGGGATCCATAATTCATGGCTGTGCGTCCAGGATGTCACCGCTCCGGCAAGCTAGCATTAAATATTTACCGCAGATCATAAGCTCCAGCCATTGAGGCCTGCCAGTCCTTTTTCGGGAAGTTTTCAGCCTCGGAGCGCACGGAGAATGCGAAATGAGTCCAGATGTGTCTCATAAGTCCTCGTACTGAAATGCTAACGGCACAGGTAGCTCCTGGGCCGTTAGCATTTCTGTCCTACATGTAACTCTGGAAAACGTCAAGACGGAGACACACTGGAGGAAGAGAGAAAGAGGAGGCCGTCATGCTGTTAAATAGTTATATGGCTGAAAAGCACATTACCGAGGTGATGATGTTTTCACATGTGTGTGCAACAAGCAGCGAGAGTAACGAGGGGTGTTAAAGGAGGATATTGCTTTTTCTTACGACTGAAACTAAGGACTATTTTCATATCTTTGTTTAATTATTATTTGCTTCAAAATGTATTTTTCATTCAAAAATATACAAGGGTCCACTACGTCATTTAAGTGACAAGTGCATATAAATCAGAACCCACAATCGTACGTTGCCTCTGCATCACAACAGAGACCCAACCGATTGATGATTTAAATCATTTTAATAGATACATTCTCGACCAAGCTATGTGATTGGACTCTGACTAAAACTCACTTTTGTTTCTGGGAAAGTTTGTAACCGTTTGTTGTTTTTTTATTATGTGTATTACAACCTACATGCTGAGTTGATTCCCAAATATGGTTCGGTAGTCGTGCGTCTGCCGGCGCAGATGACCAGATATGACCAGATATGACCAGCTTCTTCACATGACTACATCCGGCCTCTGATGGAAGATGGATTTAAGGAGAGGGGGAGGAGGACGGAGCGGTAGATTAGGCCAGAGGACGAGATGTGCGTGGGAGAGGGCGAGAGAATATGATTGTAACAGGCAGGGAGGGGGGGTGGGGGGCGTGACATCAGGCGGCACAGGGGAGGGAGGACGACTCCTCTCCCTCCGGTTGCCATGTTGACGAGGGAGAGTCCGAGGGAGAACGTTGTAGCCCCGGGTATTCGCCTCAAAACAATGAAAACGTTTATTAGTGTTTTGGATTGTTTTAATTCAGCAGCCGTCAAAGAAAGACTCCATTGCGTCCTGCCAAAAGCGGGGGGGGCGCTAAAGTGCAGACCACTGCAAGCAGCGGGGGTACAAAGAGCCAATTAGAAGCCGTGGGTTACTATGTAGGGCAGTCATATTTCAGAGTGCGCCGTGAGGAGATGTGTGAACAAGGGGAGCTTGTCAATAATTTCTGCCGTGCCCAGTCAGCACCAACGCCATGTTTACACATTGTAAATCAATGCAACTAATGCAGCCTGAACAGTGTAATTAAAATGTTAAAACGTTTAATGCCCTTTGCCGATTAACGCAGACTGAAAACACATTTAGCTCCAATTAGGCAGGCGGATGCTTCCTCGGAAGCGCCGGAAGTGAATTGTGTATTTTTCATGAAGCTTTCTCGGAATAAGCGCAAGGTTTTTTTTTACTCGTTCATGCTGGATTCCTCACACCTACCTCGGCTTCCCCTTTATCTTCCACTTCGCCCGTTTTCTTAAAACGCTCAATTTAAAAATCTCCGGTTGGCTCCTCAGTGCCATCACACTGGACAACACGCTGGTCATACTGTCCATGGTGGCGCCAGACGCCGGCCGCTACTACGTCCAAGCGGTGAACGACAAGAACGGAGAGAACAAGACCAGCCAGCCCATCACGCTGTCAGTAGAGAGTGAGTATCCACACTTTGTAACACACCAACGTTCAAAGTAAGCGAGGACATTCAGACCCTGCTCAAGTACCTGCTCATTGCATTTTTTAATGTATAATAATGTAACTGTAAATGTAGTGGAATGAAATGTACAAACGTCTGTTTAACTGCAAAGCAGTTCCTGATATTCACCAGCGTCCTTGACTGACAAAAAAAATAACACAGTATATTCATATGAAAACAATTGAGGTAGCTTCTGCTCGGCTGATGGAGCAAAGCTGACAGACAGCATCTTATGACATGGGAGACCGGAGTTCAGTGTGGAAGTAGGGGGGATGCGGGGGGGGGAGATATTACAGTTGACAACACAAGGGAACAGAAAAAGCTGATGGGGAACAGTGGAAGAGTTGATTATACTAGAACTACAACACACAAACGCACACACTCCCACACAGTCAGATTCAGGTTATATTGAGAGCACAGCAGGAGGTCTTCGCTTGGCAGGTCTCAGCGAATCACAGCATGCATTTGCATGAGCATTCCACTCGCGCACTCACTCAGGGACACACAAACGCGCACCCACACATCACATCACACACACGCCCGCAGACGCAGCGATGGGCATGCTGTCGCTCGTCTGCTGTTTGAGTGAGTGCTCGTGATTGGCTGTGTGTGTGCGCGCGCGCGTCCGCACACGCCGGCTCGCATCTGCTGCTCCTGCAGCGACGTCCCCGACGCTGCGTTTCCCATGAGCCCTCGTGGCGCAGGTCACAGGTCAAAGAGGGCCCCGGGGAGACGGGTGTCCTGTTGGACACAAAGTTTAAAAACAAGACATTTTTGGTACTTTGGTTCGTCCAGCGAAAATAAAAACTGTATTTTTCCAGTGACTAGCAGTCAAACCTTAAAGGCGTGTGTGTGTGTGTGTGTTGCCGGTTGCACACACGCCCCTTATACAGCATGTGATGACCCAAGATGGCTAAGATTGATTCGTGACAACCCCTGTAGCTGCGTCTGACGTGCACAGCCACAAGCACACTCCCAGGGCACGGTGGGATTGACGGATCAGTGTGACTTTATCACAGACATGACACATCTCAAGCAGCACACACACACACACACAAACACGCTCTCTCTGTGCTCTCACCGCCACGGGCTGTCAGTCTCTGGCGCTCGCAGCGCGCAAACACACACACACACACACACAAAGTAGCAGGCAGGGTTTTCAACACATATGAAAATGGTGCAGGCGGCGGCCCGTTGACCCCGTCAGCTCCGCCTTCGTCGGGCAACATTACTCGGTCCCCCGCTCCTGGTTCATCTCATTATACACAGTCAGTGCGCCGCCTCGTCCTGTTCGGCCCGTCTCCCTCTGTCAGAACTCATGTGTCACGTCGTTAAGAAGCCCCACAGGGAAATGAAATGTCCAGAGGATAAACACATCTACTTACATTTATCTCTAAAGATCATTGCTCCTCGTGTTTTTCGTTGGTGTTTGACGATCACGTCCACGTGTCCGTCGTAGATGTAGGAGGCCCCGCAGACCCCATCGCCCCGACCATCATCATCCCTCCCAGGAACACGAGCGTGGTGACGGGCACCTCAGAGGTCACCATGGAGTGCATCGCCAACGCCAGGTAAACGCACCGGAGCTGCAGGGTCACATGTGTGCGTTAAAGGGTCGGTTGACTTCAAATCAGGGTGGCGAGTTCGGAACAGGAGCTTTCACGGAGGTTGTGTTACAACACGGAATGCATGTGTTTTTGGCATTTAGTGTGGATTATCCGTAGCAACAGGAATGATGAGTTGGGAGATTCAAAGAAAGAAAAATAGGAAGGCATGATGGAAATGTCTTTACATTTGGCACAAACAACCATGTGGACTCAATGAGGAACTGGAACTAGATTTTGGTGGTTTATTGTCACTGTGACCTCGAAAACCTTTCTGAATCTGTTTCTGACATTTCACAATATTATAGAATGATTCTTAATGGACCGAATAAAACCCTTCATGCTAATTATTATTTATTTTTTTATTTGTGTAAAAGAACAGTGAGCTCAAGGGTCATTTCTCCTTCTCTCTCGTTGTGTGTTCCTGTATCTCCAATGAACATGAGCAGTATCAAAGCAGACACGCTCCACTAATGACATCCCCTGGTTCATGAAATAGTCACTTTGAATTGAAAACACTTGGCATCATCTCATGACATAAACAGATACATTTTTTTTTTCTTCCAATTTCAAATCTCGACGCTCCAGCAGATTAAACAGATTGGCGGGTAGTGCAAGACTCCCTTCTGACCAAACAAGAATCCTTCATTATGAAGCTGAAAAAAGATAATACAAAAATACAAGTCTTTCTGCTCCGTTTCACTCTGCAGGCCTCTGATCAAGCTCAGTATCTCGTGGCGTAAGAACGGCGTGCTGGTCACCGCCGGCTTGAGCGACTTCAACCGCCGGCTGACCATCCTGGGCCCCGTGGTGAGCGACGCCGGCTTCTACGAGTGCGAGGCCACCTTACGCAGCAGCAGCGTGCCCTCGGTCAGCGCCGGGGCCCATCTGCATGTACACGGTATGGTTGGCATGAGCCTCGATTCGAACGCTTCATTTTGTAAAGTCAGAATTTGGTTCATGCGTGTGTTTGTGCTTTTAATATTTGGTCCTTTTCCGATATTTTCAATATTTCCTCAATGTTTGTGTCTTCAGTCCCTGCGGTTTATCTTTGAAGCTCAGTATCATTTTATACTTTTATCAAGCACACGTTGCTGAGAAAGTGATGTGATTAGTCATCGTGCATAATTGCCTTATGTGCTTTTGCATCATTATGACAGCCTAAATTGATGGGGAAAATCTTCATTTAGCTACATACTGCATCAGGCAATTGTGTGGGAGGAAACGCGGAACTGAGGTTTGCAGGTTCAAACAACAAAAGCCGGTATGAAAGTGATATAAATATCAGCGGCCTCACATTATGAATCTTGCAAAGCTGCAGCTGTGAAGTCATGAGGCAGTGAGGGGAAGTCATTATTGATTTTAAAGGGAGAAAGCTAATGGTTGGCTTCAAGAAACTGTTTAATGGCATAGCTCGAATCACTTTCATTCCATCCCACCGAAACACTTTGATGTTTTCAAGGTGGTAATGTGATTCAAAGGACAAGGTGCAGTGAACTTTTCCCTTGATGGAGCCCCCCCCCCATTCCCTTCCCTCCCCTCCAAATGCTACATTTGAAACCATCCAGCTTTATCAATTACTGGTTTCTGCAATAAAATTACTGTGTAATAACATTATTTTCAGCTGCTGTATGAGCAGTTTGCCCCTTAGATTTTAAAGTAAAGGTACAATGTCCTCAGCACCGTCCTAGTGTCTTCAATTACAGGCACTGTAATTTCCTGATCTCACGGGGTACCTCAGGGGCACTTTGTTGATTGCAGCTGCATGCTTTCTGCAATCTCGCTTCTTATTTGTATCAATTTGTCATCCTGCTTTCCCCTTTTAACTGTGTCACACAGAACCCCCACAGTTTATCAAGGAACCGGAGAAGCACATCACGGCAGAGATGGAGAAGGTGGTGGACATCCCCTGCCAGGCACGAGGTGAAAAAACATTATTCTTTTTTTTATGGGACTTTTATGCTGAAAAGTGCACCAACGAAAAGGGAGCGTGACTCATTGTCCCGAACCCCCTCCACCCCCCCCACCTCCCCTCCTCATTCACCCTCTGCAGGAGTACCCCAGCCAGACATTGTGTGGTACAAAGATGCTCTGCCCATCAACCCGGTGAAGATGCCCAGGTACCGGGTGCTGGTGGGAGGCAGCCTGCAGGTGAACGGCCTCCTGCCTGGTGACACCGGGATGTTCCAGTGCTTCGCAAGAAATGTGGCAGGAGAGGTTCAGACCAACACATACCTGGCAGTTACCAGTAAGTGCTCAGGCAGCTTTTTAAGAAATGGTTCTACTCAGATAAATACTCTTATTATGGATTCGGGTTGTTAAAATGTAGAATTAACCTTAGGTAACCTAAGGGTAAAAAAAGAGGGTTAAAGTATTACACAACTTCTGTCAAACTCTGAGAGAAGAACTGTTTGTAATCGCTTTCACAGAAATGGAAAGTCATTTTAACTTGTAAGGAGGAAGAAGAGCAGCATAAATGTAATGCTTTCAAGGCAATTATGACTCCTTCAATTTATTCTTCAACTGCAACTTACTTACTACTACTTTCTACTTACTAGAGGATTACACAATCAGAATACAGAAAATCTATATCCATATAGCTAAATATGTAAAGTCTTGTTTTTGTAGTTTTTTTTTGTATTAAAAAAACGTAAATAATCACGGCGTGCAGCATTACACTCCTGTGAATCTCCTGTTTCAGCTAACCGTACAGGCGATGGAAAACAACACAAACAAACGCATCGGGTAACGTGCCTGAAACTGCTGATGTATATCAAAATATCAAAAGAGCTGCCAGCCCATTACTCGTCTCACAAGGAGCTGACTTACTGGATCAATGCTAGATTCAACTGGGCGATCAATGCAAGAAACACTCAACTGAGTCGCTCCTTTTTTGGTAGAACTGTAGGAAAATCTCCATGAGCCCGTTGTTGCACGTTATACGGACTCATGTGTCCGGAAATAAAGTTGAATATATAATAGCGTGATTGTATGGGACAAGACTTTGGATCAGTGAAGACATCAAGCAGCAAAGATTTGACTAAATGGTTTGTTGTTTATTGCTCGGCCTCAAACTTCTTACATGCATTATTTCGTTTTTTTCAGAAATAAATGAATGTATTTGCATTCTAGTGCATTTTAGTTGTCTTATATAAATTAAAAGTTGACATAACTGCTAAAAAAGGAGCTTAATGCCGTGTTTGCTGGCTTACTCGTATCCCCTGAAGGTATTTTCAGATGTGACTGTTTTTTTAAAGCATGCGCCAATGCCTGCATTAGAATATTAGCTCTCACTTTACCCTCACTGAGCAAGATTACCGATGCTGCACCACATTATCAGAATTCATGATATTCTGTTCCACTCACTCCTCCTTTGCCTGCCCCTCTTTCTCACTCAGACGCTGTCTGGCCTTCTTCTCTCTCCTCCCTCCAGATCTCATCTCATCATCTCGCTTTTCCTTAACACATTCATGTGCCCACTTCTCCACCCGTCCTTTTCTCCCTCCGTCTTCCGCTCAACGCTGCTCCTTAGAACAAACTCCCCACTCTCTCTTTCTACTTGGGAGAGATACGGTTTTCTGTCATCCTATAAAAGCTTTGATTTATTACATGTCACCAAAAAGGGATTTCAGTTTATCTACATTTCGCCTGCTTTTTCTACTCTTGTCCCTCAATAATTTACTTCCTCCTCCTCCTCCTCCTTCTCCTCCTCCTATCCGCCATCGCCACGGTTGCAACAACAAAAAGGAAAACTAGGCCGACCGTGTGGCACCAAGGTGAATGGTTTGTCAATCCGTAACGAATTAGTGGGACAAAGCGCCGACTGAACCCTGAGATGCAGCAGGCCGGCGCTTACGAGAAATCCGTTTGAAGAGGGGTTTTGCCGTAGACGTTTATTCCCTCACCCCTCTAACCCTCTTACCTTCACACTCTGCCTGTACTGAGCTCTCTCCTCCTTCTGTGTGTCTGCCTCCCCTCAGGCATCGCCCCCAACATCACAGCCGGACCCTCGGACAGCACGGTGATCGACGGCATGTCCGTCATCCTGCACTGCGAGACCTCTGGAGCGCCGAGACCGGCTATCACCTGGCAGAAAGGTCTCCGTCGCCACACACCTGGGGATTAAGATGTCTGTTTTCTGTTACGCATGGGACCACATGGCTTAACAAATAAACCCTGATTGGATTCGCAGTTTGGTCCAATCGGGGGGAAACACAGTCCTCGCTTCCCCTCACAATCCCCCTCTCCTATTCTTCTCCTCAATCCCCGCTTTTTCTGTTTATCTTTTTCTCTGTCTACGCTCCCTCTCATCTGTTTTATCCTCATCCTGTGCGCTTAAGGCGAGCGCGTGTTGGCCAGCGGTTCGGTCCAGCTGCCCAGGTTCACCCTGCTCGAGTCGGGCAGCCTGCTCATCTCCCCGTCCCACATCTCCGACGCCGGGACCTACACCTGCATGGCGAGCAACTCCAGGGGCATCGACGAGGCGTCCGCTGACCTCGTGGTTTGGGGTGAGCGCTAAAAGGCCTCTCGACATCCTTTCGAACGCGCATGCCCGATGTTTCGTGCACTGAATCCTTCCCGGTCCCTGGCAGTGGTTGAGTATTATTGAGAGCCGTGTTTGCCGAGCAGAGGTTTTATAATGAGGGTTGTGCGGTATGATAACAAGACTTGCGTTCAATTGCTTCAGGTACAAAAAGGACCCTTCTGTGAAAGCTCTGGAGTCAATATTGAGGCATTTCTTGCAAGAAGCCATCACAAAGCAGCAGCATGTCATTTCCACTGAAATGAGTTTTCTGAAATCGGTTTGGCGCGCGGCTGTTTTTTTTTTTTTGGTATTGTTTTTCTCAGGAAGGACAGTTTCTAAGTGTTTTTCTCTCTCCCCTGCTTTCTTCACCTCTCTCTCTCTCTCTCCTCTCATCTCTATCTCGCTGTCTTCTGTTTGTCTCCGCATAGCTCGCACCAGGATCACCACCCCCCCACAGGACCAGAGTGTTATCAAAGGAACCAAAGCCATTATGACCTGCGGAGTCACACACGACCGCAGTGTAACCGTCAGGTAAGAGCACCTCCACGAACATAAGACGCCTTAAATAAGTGACGCCTTTCATATGACCACATTGTACATAGGAGATGGCACAAAGTGCTTCACGGTAGAAGATGGTAAAAATACAGACAGACTGTAAAATGCTTTACATTCATTTTTTATCTTTTTCTTAGGATTATTTTCCACAAATTGTTCTATATTCTGTAAGACATTGACATTGTAAGACAAGATGAGTGACTTTTGTTCCCTCTGATAAACAGTTATGCAGTAAGCAATCCTTGGGCTTTTGTTGTGAAAGGTGAAAGCGGACCCCGTCGCCTCTCTAGTTTTCAAGGTTGAAAGTAGGAACCTCAATGTTGTCGTGTACTATAAAGTACATTTAGAAAGAAAAATCCACCTTTTCTATTGCTTTTTGGACGCGTAACATCCATGATCTGTACGAAATTACTTCGTTTGAGTTGAGTTACAGGCGGAAAAAAACGCTCCTGGTGTGTAAAGGTCTTTATCCTTAAAATTTTTTTTAAAAAGAATGACGTTCAAAGTGAACGAGCGCACAACCTCAAAGCCACCGTTCTTCTTTTGGTCTTGAGCCCGGAGCAAGGTTCAACCAACAAGCTCGTGGGTGCTGACCGAGCAGACAAATCCTAAATAGGATTCCGAATTTGATAGGGAGCCACATTTGTTGTATCACAGAAAACCCACATCGACTACAGCCTAGCACACGCACTCTGGACCAGAAGAGATTCTGGGGGGGAGGCAGGCGAGAAGCGAGGTACAAAAGCTTATCCATCTTCTATTGTCAAAGGATCGACGGCCGCAAAAATCCATCTGCACATCTGGACGGGTTTCCTTGTATTTGCCCGATGCATGCAGCAGTGCAATGAAAAGATTGAGCAAACAAACAAAGCTGTTTGGGGGTTCAGGTTGTGCAAAATGCAAACACCCGCGGAAGTGAAAAGTGTACCGATGTGCATCACGTATGTCATTAGAAGACAGTCGGAACCGCAGCACGAACGCGAAACACACAACCATCACAGGAGACATTGACTGAACTCCGAGACTGTAGCCGACATCCGTGGCGATCAATAGACCATCCTGTGCCTTTCTGCTCAGAAGAGAAGGCTACATCGGGCCGCTACGTTTGAGCTGTGCGGTTTTGATGAGTGGGAACCCGGCGTTTGATATCGAGCAGACAGTCGCTATGATGTGCGTGCGGGCCAAGTTTGAAGAGACAGAGAGGGAAAAAGATGAAATGCCTCACCAATAACACATTCTTCTTAGTTTTGTAGGTTTTGCTTGTTATTTATGGTATAAACAACAAGCAAAACCCCCAGTTTATTCATTGCTTTAATGTCAAAAAGAGTTAAGCCCACCATCTGAGGCTGACGTGCTCGTGTACATCACAGTTCACATCACAGCAGGCGGCATCCGAACGATGCAAGTCAGGTTATTTTGTGGAAACTTCTATTTTTATGGATGTATTTGTGCATTTATGTAAGCGCTGAATAAGTTTGGAGTTCAACAGCGTGCTTTAATGTACAGTTCAAGTTACGAAAGCTACTTTGTTCCATTCCAACCTCAGCTTTGTTGAGTTTGCACGCAGTCAAGCTTCTTCTGAAATGAATTTCACATTTAAGATCGCAGATTCAGATTGAGTCGGACAAGGATTTCCAGGGACTACTTTCTGTGTGCTGTTTGAATTGTCTTTGTATTGTGTAATTCAAGTTTTATTTTTACAGAAGGCCTCAGCCTTCAGTGCAGCTAATTATCGTGGTGTAGACTGATCAGCTGATGCTGCTTCGGGAACGAAAAAAAATGCCGTTAACGTCAACGACTGTTTCGTGCGTTCCAGGCATGTCTGGGAAAAAGAGGGCTCGCTGGTCAACGTCCAGTCCGTCCCCCGCATGCGGCTGGAGGCGGACGGCACCCTCCACATCTCCCAGACCTGGTCAGGGGACATCGGCACGTACACCTGCAGGGTCACCTCCGTTGGCGGCAACGACTCCCGCAGCGCCCACCTCCGCGTCAGGTAACCGCCGCCGCATCAGCGGCTCGCCCGGCTTGCCCGGCTCTTCTATTTCCTCTTCTTTTGTTTGTTTTTTTCCTCCCCTCCTCACACTGTCACTCCGGTGCAACGACCCGGCATGTATTTTTAGACGAGACAATGCGGACGCACGCACACTCGCACACCCTCCTCCTCCGCCGGCTTACTGCTCACCTCTCCTGTCCTCATTCTCACCCGACACCCTCTAAGCCCCACAGGAGCCTCCCCCCCCTCACGAGACACACGCTCTGTCTCACACAAACTCCTCTACATTGTTTTGGTCTTCTCAAATCTTTCCTCCCTCGTAGGTTTTCCGCTTCCGTTGTACTGCGGCAAAGCGGCGAGGGGGTCAACCGAGTGTGAACGAGACATCTGACTTCCTGTCCGCCGAACTGATGTAGTGACTGACGGCGTGTCTCTTTGTCCCCCCCCCCGCCACCTCTTTGGCTGGATCCCTTTTGACCGAGTTACTGCCAGTTTTCCGTTCATTGCTATGAGGTTTATCTATCAATCTGCCTGTGCTTATCTGAATTCACGGCTGAATGAATTAATGGTCCCCGGCTCTGGCCTCATTTATCCACGTCTTTACCCGTGCATTTTTCTCCCCGTCTGTCTCTTTATGCCTTTCAATCTGTTCCCCCCCGGCGAGGTGATATCTATCTGCTTTTGTTTGCCGGCGTGTCCATCTTGACAAGGGACCGTCCTCGCCGTCATGCCACATTTCATCGCCCGCCTAGCCGTTGTGCAACACTCTGCTTTTGCTCGAGATTCGTGGCGCTCTCGCGGAGGAGACGGAAGCGTTGCCGTAACGCCGCGTCCCCGCGGAGGATCCGCTGCGGCAGGAGGGACTCTTTCAGTTATCTCGTTTGTCCCGATGTCCCCTCTGCAGGCAGCTGCCCCACGCCCCAGAGAACCCCGCGGCGGCGCTGAGCGCATCGGAGAAAAGAGCCATCGACCTGGCCTGGGCCAAGCCCTTCGATGGCAACAGTCCCCTCATTCGCTACGTCCTGGAGGTTTCTGAGAACAGTGAGTCACTTATCGGTGCGGTGCACCCTTTAAGGATTTATTGTACGTAATGAGTTCGGCCTGGGGGAGAGAGACGGAGGGGGTCTCAACTTGGGTGCGTAAACTTAGAGGCCGTCGTGTGTTTTTCATTTACAGCTCCGCATCTAACAAGCAACTATTCATCTCTCATAAAATCCGTTCTATTTGGATCGCTCACCCCGGCATTGCCTTGAATTCTTGAATACAACTTTTTCACGCCTACCTCTGCGGCAGTGAATAATCCAGAAGCTCTTTAATGATTTGAAGTAAACGGGGGCCGTTTACTATCAAAACGTCTGTTTATAAACTCCCACGCAGTTCATGCACTCATTGAGCCGGTTCGTAGGCTCAATACTTCCCAAACAGGGAACAAATGTTTAGAATATGATATATATTAGAGTACTATTATTATGCTTTAGATATTAGGTTTTATGCAAGTTTTGGGGAAAAACTGAGAATATAACTACAGACTTCTCTCCTTTTTCAGATTACATGTCTTAAATCTGCAATGCGTCGTGCCATCACTTCCTTTCTCAGACTTCTTTCAGTTTTTTAATGAATTCAAGTTTCTTTAACTGTGACCTACCGTGACAGAACGATTGCAGGTGTGAGAGTGAAGAAATCCCTCCCGAATATTAGTACAAAATGTTTCATTTGCTGGAGATGCTAAGGTGGACGGTTGTGTGCACGTGCGGAAACAAGGCGTTAACCCAGCCCCTCTTTGTTCCAGACGCTCCCTGGGCCATCCTGTTGGCCAATATCGAGCCCCAGTCCGTAGCGGTGACGGTGAATGGCCTGATCCCGGCGCGCTCCTATCAGTTCCGCCTCTGTGCCGTTAACGATGTGGGCAAGGGGCAGTTCAGCAAGGAGACTGACCGGTGAGTTTAATACAGATCCTAACCACCCTCCCACACACACACCTCTCATCCCCTTTCAACACCAGAATAGTTATTGGTCGCTGTTATCTAGGGTGTAAAAAATTGAGAATTTTCTCAGCAATTTTCTGATGACAAGTTGATCCGTTATTTTATTAAATTTATTTTAAATGTGTTAATCACTTTTATTTGACATCCCTTAATTCCTCCATCTCACCATCCCTCAGCTGACAATAGCTGTGAGAATTCTTCAAACAAGATCTCGCAGAACTCAGTGGCTGTTCGTAAACAGTGCGTTGTGCCCAGAAACGCCGTTTCCTAGACAACTGATCCCTTCAGTCTAGAGTCGGCGAGGAGGGGATGCACGTCTACCAAAAGCCCGGGCGCGCACGCGGACATGCGGGATCGCATGTAAACACGCACAAGCGCCGGCGCGCTCTCGCATCCCAAAAGCCGCGGGAGGGATTTAAGTCCCAGGCGGCATTTGGTCCGGCCTTCCCCACGGCCTCACCCTGCGTTCGCGCGTTGCACTTATCTCGCTCGCGTCCCTTCCCACGCACACCCGTTCCGTCTGAGTAAATGTGCATCCCGTGACTTTTGTCACCTGTGCTGAACAGGACAGGAGGTTTTTTTTTTAGTGTGTGCTAATGTTTGCTTTAAATTGAAATGCTACATTTAGGCTGCTGCATTATTACAAAGCTTTTAGTTTAACATAAACTAAAGCAGCGTTGGTGATGATTCCCAGAGGGAAAAATGTTCTTTTATATCTCCAGCTTCATAGCTTTATGGCTTTGTGTGTGTGTGTGTGTGTGTCCTGCAGCGTCTCTCTCCCCGAGGAACCCCCCAGTGCTCCGACACAAAATGTAATAGCTAGCGGCCGGACCAACCAGTCCATCATGATCCAGTGGCAGCCTCCGCCGGAGAGCCACCAGAACGGCATACTCAGGGGCTACACCATCCGGTAGGATCCCCGTTCCTCCACCTTCTCACCTGACACCTATCCGGTTCCATCCGGTTATCCCAAAGGCCACAAGCAGCTACAGACATACACATTCAGTTCAGACACCAGGTTCACACCTCCTGTTAGACGTTTAAAGTGTCACATTGAGAATTTAGATTTCTACTTTCTACACGAGTAAGTGAAAATGATTAAAAGACGTTGTCAATACAGCGTCAGTCAACACCACGGCAATTAAAAAATATGTCAGACTGAGGGAAAATAGTTTGACTTCAGAAAAACTTTGGAGTCAGGCGTGTGCCAAACTGACTGTAAATCCTGTAAGCGCGTGTTTAGCGTTGGTTTTCTGTCGGGCGTTTTATTCCCCGCATCCAAATGAAACAGCAGGTGTTTTCCGGAGGACAGCCAGTGTTTTTTTGATCGCTGGTTTTCTGGTGCTTTGTCTCCCCCTAGCAGGGAGCCCGGTGAACTGGCTCAAGCGGCAAAGCGCTGTAATGTCAGTGCACCGGCTCCAATGTCACATTCACTGTGAAAGCAACAGAGCTGTGCCATGTTTTTGCCTCAGTGATGAAGTGCAGGAATCCCCGTTCATGTTTGTGTGTGTGTGTGTGTCAGGTACCGTCTCACTGGGCTGCCTGTGGACTACCAGACTAAGAACATTTCCAGTCCCGATGTGACCAACCTTCTGCTGGAGGACCTCATCATCTGGACCAACTATGAGATCGAGGTGGCCGCCTACAACGGGGCCGGCTTGGGCACCTTCAGCCATAAAGTCACTGAGTGGACGCTGCAGGGAGGTGAGAGCTCATTTCGTTGATGTGATTGGGTCTTTATTTGGAGAAAAAAAAAAGGAAACATCACATACAACACAAAACATACAACACAGAACAAACAGTTCCAGTAAGAATATTGATTTCTCGGTTCCTTGAAACAAGATACGCGGGTTAAAAACATGAAAACAACCGCATCTTAAGATAAATTGACCCCCGTTAAAGATTTTACATTTTAAAGCACACTTGCTTGAATCAAAAAAAAAAAAATAGATATGAAAACATGTTGTTCGCCTTTGCAATTGTGCTTGACGTGAACATTGTATCTGGGTTCGCTCGAGTCTGTGGCTGAGCGAAGAAACTTTCTCCCTTCAAATTTATTCAGACAGACTTTGGCAGACTGCCAAAGTGAAAAAAACATTGAAAAAAATGTTAACTGACGTAAGTAATACATCGTGGGCTTAAGATTGTGGGTGTTTTGGGAGCAAGGGGGATGCTCACATGCTACCTCGAAAATACTCCGAACAAAGTGCTGCCTAGAAGTCAAAGAATCCTTGAAATCGGAAGAGTCCTCAGGCGGGATTATTTCACTTAGCACCCGTGGACGTGAACCGTTGAAGAATCCTTTCTTGATTTTAAGAAACATCCACTGATTTTTTTCGGTCTTGATTATTGAATGTGTCTTTTTGAATAAATACGACCTGATGCTCAACTCTATTAACATTGATTCTTCTCCGTGAGGCCCGCGCGAAGGTGTGGCATCTCCATGAAATCTATAATCAGCTCACACGGTCTCAAACGAATCCCCAGAGAGGGCCTGGTGCTGGCGGGGTTGGTGTCATCAGAAGGACCGTGATGACGGTATCTGTCCTGACCTGTGCAGCGGCGATCGATACCGACATCAGAACAGATGCCGGCGGACTTCCAGCAGACCACTCGAGCGTGTTCTCACACCCTGTTTTTTTCTTCTCCTCCCCCTTCCCACCTCGGCTTGACCCTCCCAGTGCCCACCATCGCCCCCGGCAACGTGCAGGCCGAGTCGGTCAACTCGACGACGATCCGCTTCACGTGGACGGCCCCGAACCCTCAGTTCATCAACGGCATCAACCAGGGCTACAAGGTCAGTTGGTGCCGAGCTGTCGGGGCTGAACATGTAGTATCACATATACTGTGCAGCAAGAGGGGGGGGGCAATGCCAAGGGGCCAAGGATATTTGGTCGCCGCTGTGAACGATGGACCCGGTCCTCCCATTTGTCAGTCGGAGGTCATCGTCTTTATCTTTGCAGTCGTTTTTCCCGTTTTATTGTGGAGCTGTGAGCATGTGATGATGAATGTCTTCATTATTTTGTCATGGGCTTTTGAATACAGTCCATCTCTCTGCCTCTTGCGTACACTGAATTGAAACAAATGTAAGCCAAAGGAAATCATGAAGCCACAGTCGGAGAATTAAAAAATATATATATATTGTATTGCCTCCGTTGGGGCTTAATTACGTCATTTGGCTTCTTTCATATCCGTCTGTTCGATGGTGCTCCACAGGCCTTACTGGGCCGGGGGGGAGGAGGGGTCACCGTACCAATCAGAATGTGAAATACCAGATTTTCTTCCCCAGAGGTGGGTGGGGGGGGGAGTGGGTGGTGGGGGGCAGAAGCGGCAGTGAGAGTAAAGGGAAATAAAGCGAAGGTAGACTTCAGAGAAGACCCAGAAAAGGACATAAAAGAGTGTGAAAAGAAGTCCTGTGGCAGACAGTCAAGTATCTACTCGGTTGATATCGTCTGGCTGGAAGCTGCAAAGAGACCGAGTTGGACCTGCCTTAAGGGCTCATCACCTAAGCACCTAATTTTTCGATCCCGATCCCATTAGTAGATGCTGCATCGAGCACCATCAACACGCGTGATGGGACGCTATCGCATGTGTGAGAGTTGTAACGGACCAATGATTAGCTTCTGTCTTGTTTTTTTTTTGTTTGTTCTTTCTGCCGGCCCTTTTCAGTTGCTGGCCTGGGAGCCCGGCAGGGACGACGACGTTACCATGGTAACGGTGCGACCGAACTTCCAGGACAGCGTCCACTTGGGATACGTGACGGGACTGAAGAAGTTCACAGAGTATTACACCTCCGTGCTGTGCTTCACCACGCCCGGAGACGGCCCCCGCAGCCCGCCCAAGGCACTGAGGACGCACGAGGACAGTAAGGGGCTTTTCTCTCTCGCAAACTCGCAGTAACACATCCTCCGGGCAAGATCTATTATTCATGCACAACCAAGTTGTAGAGAAGTGCTAATGACTGAGTTTATTCTGCATCCAACCAGGATCATCATAATTGGGACTCAGTCCCTCTGGAGATAATTGGTTAATCTTTGGAAAGATTTTGCCCAACTTGTCATCAGACAGTTTTTCAGTGATTTGTTCTTGTTTTTGCTCCACTTGTAAACGCATTTAAAATGCAAATGCCGCCACTAGTGTGGTAGTGCAGCATGGAGGGTGATCAGCATGGAATATTATTGAATATAGTGTCTTGTTTGCTCATAATCCTTTTTTTTGTCCCTGTGCAGCACCCGGTGCCGTGGGTCACCTGAGTTTCACTGAGATCCTCGACACCTCACTCAAAGTCAGCTGGAGCGAGCCCGGCGAGAAGAATGGAGTCCTCACAGGCACGTTCACGTAACTCCCAAAATACACCTGCGGTAAAGGCTGAAAGGCTGAAAATAGCAGGTTGGGAAGCCGAGCCGAGCTTCCACAGCGAGCCCGTTGCTCTTTGGGTGGCACGCGGTTTGTTGGTCTTCATTTGGGTCTGATGCCCTCGGCCGCATGAGACATGAGACACCAACTATACCGCTTCATCAGTGACGCAACCCCAAAAAATGGTGTAACTTCTTTCATAAAACACAGAAGATTGTCTCATGCCCCGAGCTCTGCTAATGAAATCTGTCTCAAGAACCGGCTGGCTTCCTAAAACACCTTTAATAAAAGCCTTTAATATCAGAAGAAGGAGGCAGGGATCATGTGCGGGTTGCTAAAAAGAAAACCCTGTTTTTAAGAAGTAGATAAAAGTAAAAAGACATTTTGTCTCACTTGTCCAGTTACAGTAGGTGTCCTAATTAAATATGTTTCTAGTGAGCAGCTGCCTCTTCTTTTCCAGTTTACATAATGCTTTTAATGTTGGAGCAAAGAACAAATGCCCAGCAGTTACATTAATATTGAAGTGTTTAAAAAGCTTGAGATTTGGCAGAATATTGTGAAGTGCTTTTTTCAAAGCATTTTAATGTGCAGCACACTCCCAGGAGACAAACACCGACATGCCATGTGAAATTATTGATTTGGCAAGAAGTGCTGCCTAATGCCTTATGCAATCACATGAAAAGAGCTGCTGGCCAAGGAGCAAATTGCATTAACTTTGAGAGGGTAAACGTGTGCGTTTGGATGGGAGTGGGTGGAGGAAGTGTGTGAGTGTGTGTGTGTGTGTGTGTGCGCAGGGAGGTATAATCACAGACTGATTTCATTTGCTATATTCAATTTTTGATGAAGGTAATGTAATGTTTCTGTTAGCCTGCCCCGTAGCACGGGAGCTGAGAGTTGCCATTGTTGGAAAAAAAACTAAAAAAAACTGCTGTCGAATGTTCCCTGAGGGGATTCTCTCATATATCGTCAACCTCTGCCTCTGCTGCTCTTCAGGTTATCGCATTTCTTGGGAGGAGTACAACCGAACGAACACCCGGGTCACCCACTACCTCCCGAACGTCACCTTAGAGTACCGGGTCACCGGGCTCACCGCGCTCACCACCTACACCATTGAAGTCGCGGGAATGACCTCCAAAGGACAGGGCCAGCTGTCCTCCTCCACCATCTCCTCGGGTGTCCCCCCAGGTCGGTGGCCGAACGACACCTTCACATATTTTAAAGGAATTCTTCGCGTACAAAATATTTTATCAAGTCAATTCCCCCAAGAGTATCATAATGTCCTCTTGATGGAAATCGTGCAGGGTTTAATCCTAAAGTCATCAATTCTGATCTTTGCAGTGACCTTACTATTCAAAACTCTTCGGACTGGATCCTAAACTTCCCGCAACGCAACTCAATAGCATCTTTTCATTAAATAAATTCCCTCTCTCAAACCCCACACTTCCAGTTTGTAGCGCAGGCTGTTCTGTAAACATTTTAAAGTCACTCTTAATTTTTCAATAGCTTTGAGCCTTTATGAAACCTTCCCTCGCTGCATATTTACTGTTTCCCATTAATTCGGTGAACACGCTCTCTGTGGTCTGGCGCCAGACACAATGAAATTGAACTCTGTTTTTCCTGTGGCTCGTTCCCAGCTGGCTGCCCGGGAACGAGCCCCCCCCCCCCATCCCCCAATACTCTATTCATGCCCCGTATCTGCAGAAAATAATAGCTCCCACGACGGCATTAGGGACAATCACAGTGTTTAATGATTTCATATATCCAAAACTGCGTAATAGACATACAATGCCGACGTCAAGTAGCAGAGCAGCCCTCAGAGCCTCTACAGCTGGGAAACCTGGGTAATGACAGGCTCTTATGCTGCAAGCGGGCTTCAGAGCTGCAGTTAAAGTCCCCAGAATGGTAATTACTCTCATTGTGCACGAGTAAAGAAAACACCTATGTGCCCGCAACGCTGTCACAACAATTCAGCCGCAAAGCCACCTCAATAATCAGTCATGCAAATGACTTCGAAGTGATAATGTTCCGAGGACACATCTAATCTGCGTTTCATCAGGGTTGAATACACCCTCATTAAAGCGATCTTGGGGAAAAATTGCTCAGTGCGCCCGTGGGGGTGATTTTATGTTTTTAATAGCGGGCCGCTGTCCACACTCAGTTGGAGGTAAATACCAACTGCTGTGAAGACAACTGAGGTAAATACCGCCAACCGGCCTCGTGTACATTATATTACGGCCATTTGTTATGGTGGGTTGAACATTTGTCTCGAGGGAAGCATGAAGGAAAGGAAGATGAAATGGAAACATAGAAGAACTCTCAACATACACACGCACAAATAAACCATGATATCTCTTACCACTAAAAAGCCCCTCGCGCTGTTCTTTGAATTTCCAGGACTTCCAGGGAATGATCCATTCTCATTCTTTACTCAGCGCAAGTGTAAACAGTGAGGTATCAGATTGAATCGTATCTCCAGGTAACTGCGGTGTAATTGACATTCATGGCATTGTCTCCGCCTGTGTTCTGCGTGCAAGGGTTTTACCAAATCCAATATACCTTTCCTGCTGTAGAAAAAGTATCTGTACCGCCACAAGGGGGCGCTGAGGAGGATAGATTTTCCCAGGCAGGCCAAAAGCCGCCCGGTGTCATGAGACGAGCCAACAGCAGGGCCCGTGGTTTGTCTCTCTGACGTCGGCTCTTCCCTCTCTGCCTCCTCGCAGAGCTCCCGGGCCCCCCGACCAACGTGGCCATCTCCAACATCGGCCCGCGCTCCGTCACCCTGCAGTTCAAACCCGGCTACGACGGCAAGACTTCCATCTCCCGCTGGCAGATGGAGGCTCAGGTGAACCCGCTTTAACCCGGAGTCCTTCATCTCGCCTTATTGCTTTTCTACTCATCCTCCTCTTGCTGGACACAGTATCTCCTTGACTTCTTCCTGTGAGAGGTTTGCCGCGTCTGCCGTGTTCCTCACGCTCTCCGTTGTGTCCCGCGTCCCAGGTGGGTGTGGTGGGAGAGACAGAGGACTGGGTGATGGTCCACCAGGTGACCAACGAGCCCGAGGCTCGCTCCTTGGAGGTGCCTGGTCTCAACCCATACACCTTCTACAGGTAGCGTTCAGGGACCACTCATCTGTTGAAGATAGAACCTAGTAAAAAAAAAAACGTCCCAGACTCAGTCCAGACGTCTCGTTTGTTATCAGCTCTCCTTTGCAATCACGCCAATGAAATGTACGATTTGGGAAGATTGATGTGTAGCTAGAACCAAAGATAACAAGCCCCATTATGGAGGATTTTGATCCCCTGCCAGTAGACTTGTGTACATACATGCGTTATTACAGCTAAAGCTTACTATATTAGTGTATTAGGCTAATTTCAGCAAATCCCAGGAGCCTTATCTCATCCCGCGTTCCTTTAATTTCAACACAGGCTTCTTATGGTTAGTGTTCAACCATTATTTTTACAGCATGATCTTATATCTTGGTGCAGCCGGCATGTTTTCCACGATCACATTAAACAGCAACGTTACTCCGAGCCGGTCCCCAAAGACACAACAGCTATAGTTCTGAACATTCCAACATCCAGGCTGCCAGTTTACATTTGAGTAGATTTAAACGTTCCTCCTGGATCAAAATGTTGTTGTTTTTTCCGCACAGTCAGGCTGCAACACAAATAAGCCCCCCGCTCATGTTCAGACTGCATACATATTCAGTGCTCTGATCTCGGTTCAAATGCAATAAGTCTCATGTAAGACGACGCTCACTGCGGCGATGCTGAATGTTTGCTGAAAGTTGCCAGGTTTCTGAGCTGTGATTTTTTTCGTTCAAATGAAACCATCCTTTATGCAGAAGCTGCATTACAACATTTAACTCCAAACAACAGGTTCCGTATGCGCCAGGTGAACATCGTGGGCACAAGTCCTCCCAGTCAGCCCTCGAGGAAGATCCAGACCCTGCCGGCTCCTCCGGACGTGGCGCCCGCCAACGTCACCCTGCGCACCGCCAGCGAGACCAGCCTCTGGTTCCGATGGATGGTAAGCAGGAAGCTGCTTCGTGCCTTCTACATCGTATCCAGACCCATCACTTGTCACAGTCATGGTCTTTCACGTCTATATCTTGTTTTTTCATTTGACTTTTTAACGCTTTATTTGTAGCTTTCCCTTTTATGACATAAGACGCCATCTTTATTGTCTCAATTTTGATATCCTCCATCCCATCTTCTATCTGTTCAATGTGTGTTGGAGTTTCCTTTTAAATAAACTGGAGCTTGTAGCTGACAGATGGGCAAGGATTAATGCAAGCAGTAATGTTTAACTGAGGATAAACCAAAAATAGTGCATAATATTGCAGCCATAAGTGACTGAGATTGTGTCAAAAAAAGGTTAAACGAAAAGATCCCGCCTTTGTTTTGACCCACTTTTTTTTTCTTTCCCATCCCCTCCTCCAGCCTTTGCCCGAGTGGGAGTACAACGGCAACGCGGAGCAGGTGGGCTACAGGGTTCAGTACTCGCGCGCGGGCTCGCTGGCCCGGGCGCTGACCCACATCATCGCCGACCGCCTGGAGAGAGAGTTCACCATCGAGGACCTGGAGGAGTGGACAGAGTACGAGGTCAGGGTCCAGGCCGTCAACGGCATCGGCGCCGGGCCCTGGAGTCAGCCAATCAGAGGCAGGACGAGGGAGTCTGGTGAGTCAGCGCCTCATCCGTCATCCTGAGGGAGGAACGCGGGTTGTCTGACGTGTGGAGGTCGGATGGTCTGTGGTGCTGGAGCAGCAGCAAACTGCGCTGAGTCATTTGCATTACAAAGCAGCGCAACAGAGCGTCGCTTGCTTAATTGCTCAAAAGTGCTTTTGTGTCAAGTTCTTCCCAACAGAACCAACAAATGAGGAGTAATTATGCAGCAAAAACAAAGACCACAACAACGCACACACACACACATTCCTCAAAGGCATTCTGATTACTGGCCACACATGTGGACTATGTACATTATTAGTTATATTAGTGTAACAATACACAGTACACGTACGAGTCTATTCAGCAGCCGGTCCATATTCAAGCAAAAGCACATCCCTGCTTGAGCCTGCAGATTTCTCTCACCAGACATTGTGTCGTGGAATGAGTGAAGGAAAGAGTCTGAGGAAATTGAGAACACATGGACTCAAATGTGGAATTCCAGGGCCTATTTCTTTCCACTTACCTCAGTAAATTCTTAGGAATCAGCGCGTTATGTCCTGGGACAAGTGCCAAGGAAGAGAAAAGGCCTATTCTTGAGTCTCTTTTCTTCTTCCAGCAGGCCCTGAAGGGTTTACCTAGACATCAGAGGCTTTGTGCAAACCCATCGCAAGCACGACAGCAACTATAGCAGATCACTCAAACTGAGCAAAACAAAGACGTTTTTCTGAATAATGGCTGACAATGGACTGCTCAGGCATAATGTCTTTGTTTTGCAGTCCCCTCCTGTGGACCCACCAACGTGTCGGCCTTCGCCACCACCTCCAGCAGTATTCTGGTGCGCTGGTTTGAAGTCCCCGAGCCAGACAGAAATGGTCTGATTCTGGGCTACAAGGTCTGTTTGTGCTTTTTATTTGTACACTGAGCAGTGGAACACCTCTAATTGTCAATTAGTTTAGAGAGGATAGCTTTCATTTCAAGCCGTGTGCACAGCAGCAGGTTTAACGGCGTGCAAGGCCGTTTTTCCAAATTTCCCCCCTTTTCACCAGCTCTTCTTTATCTCCTGTGACCTGAACGGATCAGGTGGTGTACAAAGAGAAGGACTCCGACGGTCCGGTTCACTTCTGGACGGTGGACGGCAACGCCACCCACAGCGTCCAGCTCACCGGTCTGGGAAAGTATGTGCTCTACGAGATCCAGGTGCTGGCTTTCACGCGCATCGGAGATGGACGGCCCAGTGCCCCGGCCATACTGGAGAGGACTTTGGACGATGGTAGGGAGCGAGGAATGAGCCCCCCTCCCCCCGAGCGCTACAGTTGAATAGTATTCTTGCATTATGGACAAACATGAGTACTGTTCACTGTTGCAATAAGTTGCAACAAGTCGTGTCTGTTGTTTGGCTTCAGTTCCAGGACCTCCGGTAGGGATCCTGTTCCCTGAAGTCCGGACCACATCAGTGCGGCTTATTTGGCAGTCCCCCTCGCAGCCCAATGGCATCATACTCGGTTAGTAACATGGGATACATTCAAGTAAACTCATTTCTCCAGGCACAAAGTTAATTAACCATTAACCATAAATCTACATGTTCAAAAATAAATTCCTGTTTGGGAGGATAATATTTCTTTTCTTTTATCTTGGTATTTTCATATTGATATTTTCCTAAAGAAGTTCACATTCTGCTGTAGAAATGTCTCCATCACTAATGTTAGTAAATGCCCAGGAAACAAAAGAATATAAGACGTATCTTTATTTACCTTTAATGTAGCATCAGGCCTAGAGGTGTAATCCATGATGATTCTCAACACGCCTTTGTCAACGTTACTCCAGCTGTATTACTGTAATGTACTGTATAAGTATGTATGGATTTACTTGTAAGCCAGCGGGGGATTTCCTTGTGAGACTTTGGAGTCATTAAACATCTGTCAGATTATTTCTTGTAAAACTCTACAGTACATCAGACCCACACAGTAGGGTGAGCAGATGCTAACGTGCTTGTGGGTTGTTGTTTTTTAACACTTTACAGTTAAGCTTGTTTTGTCCCCTTCAATGAGACTGTTTTGCCCCCCCCACCGATGTCTCTCCAGCCTACCAGATCACATACCACCTCAACTCCTCCGCTAGCAACACGCCCACAGTGGACGTGTTGATCCCCAGCGCTCGGCAGTACACGGTGAGCGGCCTGAAGCCCGAGTCGGTCTACGTGTTCCGCATCAAGGCGCAGACGAGGAAGGGCTGGGGCGACGCCGCCGAGGCCCTGGTGGTCACCACGGAGAAAAGAGGTACCCACATCCGAATGAGCATCACTAGGGGGGGGGATCGCCTCTAAGTCAAAGAGGTATCTGAGAGGAGAATGTTGTGATCTGGGTAACGACAGAAGTTGCAGAGGACCTTCGGGGGAATCTGTTCACTCCCGGTTAACAGTCCAGTCAGCAGATGTGTTTTCCAAAGGCGTCTTTGTCCCCTCCGGGTGTTTATCGGAAGCGCTCTGATGCAGTTGTGAGAACAAATCAGTCCATCTGCTTCCCTCAAGGCATGCGGGGAATTGTTTACTCTGCAGCTTTCATTTCTCGGCTGCTTTTCATTCATCAGAATCACACTTTTTCTTTCTTCTTTTTTTTTTTCCTTATTTGTGCGACAAATGCAAATTGTGAGAAAGCAAAAACCTGTGTTTACTCTGGACTTTTTTCTCCCCCTATCCACCCGTCCCGCCAACCCAACATTCCCTTCCAATTCTTCCCTGTCAATCCTTTGATCCCGTCCCCATCCTTTGCCCCCCCCCTCCCCCCCCCAGCTCGTCCCCAGCCCACCAGCCGTCCCACGGTTCCTCAGAAAGATGTCCGGGCCCGCCAGGTCCTGCTGTCGTGGGAGCCCGGCAGCGACGGCCTGTCCCCCGTGCGCTACTACACGGTGCAGCTCAGGGAGCTCCCTGACAACAACTGGACGGTCCACTCGGCCTCCGTCCACCACGAGGCCACCTCCTACATAGTGTCAAGGTAGAGTGTTTTCGGACGCGTGTATGTATTCAGAAAATTGCGTCCCCGCAAACGTTTCGCTTATATTATTTATTGTTTGTTCTCGTCCGATGAAGAGGGCGGTACTGTCTCTTCACAGTGACTTCAGTCGTCCCTGTCTGGGGTAAAAAGTTGGCACATCAACAACACCCCCCCGCGGCCGCATAACGTTCGCAGTGGGGTTTAAAACATTAACACACAAATGGCCTTAGGAATTCGACATACGGCGCCATTAGCAACGAGGTCTCGGTTTGTTTGAGGTTGTTTCTTGATAACAAACGTGCAGCTGCCTCAGTGCGGATCGATTTTCTCTTTTGATATCTGCGGCTTAAAGGGTTTATGATCCAGGACGGTAGTTTTTCATCAGGATTGATGTGTGTTCATGTGCTTCCAATCCCCAGGCTGAAGCCCTTCACATCCTACCAGTTCAGAGTGAAAGCCACCAATGACATCGGGGACAGTGAGTACAGCGAGGAGAGCGAAGCCATCACCACTCTGCAGGACGGTAAGAGCGACATCGGGGGCTGTAAACATCTGACGAGTAGATTCACTGAGAGCTGTTGAAGATTTAGTTTGAAACGTGCTCATTTTCGAAGATGCCACTTTGTGTGGGCGACCGCTTTCAGTCGGGGGGGTAAAGAAGGTAAAAGAATCCACAATGTATGTCTTACGTGACGAGTCTGTCTAAATAGAAAAACCACACGGGATCCTACGGAGCGTTATGTGCAGAGCTTTTTTTTTTATTGGCTGGTGAAGTGATTCTCCACTGGTTGCCTGGCAACTTCACCGTGTTAACAAGACGGCCGGCAGTCACTGCGCCCAACTGAGTAAAAAAACAGCAAGTGAGCGCCCACAATGTCAAACTATTCATTTAAAAGATAAAACTTTATACTTTATATATATTATATTTATAGGCACAATTTGAACACTGCACACTTCTCCATCACTATAAAAGGGGTTTAATGTGAATTAAAGTGAATTATCCTATTGGTGATATATCAGATACATCTGCAGTTTCCTCAGCGGTGCTTTGACCAAATAGCGTCGTGCTCCTTTCGCCGGCTATTTTGGACTCATCCGTCAGCGCTTGTTCCGTTGCAGCTATTGTGTGCTTATGCTCCTTGAATGCCGCTGCACCTGGATGGATTTAGCACTCTGAATCGTGCACATTTTCAGGTCAATCCGGCCCATTTATCTTTCTCTTTTTTTTTCCCTCTCAGCGCCTGACGAAGCACCCACAATCCTCTCTGTCACGCCGCACACAACAACGTCGGTGCTGATCCGCTGGCAGGTAAGTGGGGAGACGGTCTAAGAACTGGTTTTCTTTTCATGTGTCATTGTTTGCAAAGTCTAAGAAAGTGTCCTCTAATGAGAGACTAAGGCAGCACACAGAGTAGACCTATACTTCAAGTCTAAGGGGAAAAAACCCACTCTTGCACCTGAACTGACAGGCCGTAAAAGGGGGAAAACAGGAGGCTCCAAGCCGCAATTTCACTTTTATGGAGAACACTTTGGTTTATAGGGACACGGAGGTAGTTGTTTGCTTCTCCCCCTGTAGACCTGCTCTCTCATGTGGGGGGGCGGGGGGTTCTCCCCGTGACTCATCTGTGGATGAGCTCAGTCTGGGTAGATTACTGTAAGTCTCTTTAATGATGGTTAAATCACGCTTGATTTTCATTGCATTGTTCGGCTCCACTACTTTTTAGTAGCCTTTCTCAGCTTATCCGTGTGAAACCGCCAGGACATCATGTTCAACGAGAAGCACGTGGATTTGTTTTAATTGGCAACCCGAATAGAACATCTGCACTTTGTCAAGTGTGCGGCAGGACACTTTTATTAAAATCGGTCTCAATTTGAGTTGAAAAAAGCCGTCGTATGCTGTGGACATACAGCATTGGGGACGAAACCCAACCTGGCAAAGTACAAGTTACAGAAAGAAACAAGTTAAATGTGAAAGTAACTTCATCTGGGGACATTTAAAACTGTAAATCTGGGTCACTTGCGGTAAGCAAAGTTATTTCTGGGGGCTCAGCTCAGCAGGGATCTGCTACATGAGACTTAACTCTCCATCTTTCGCCTTGCAGCACCCCTCTGAGGAGAAGATAAATGGAATCTTATTGGGCTTTCGGATTCGATATCGTGAGCTGGTGTACGACCGTCTCCGCAGTTTCTCTCATCACCCCATCAACAGCATGTCCACCTGGGGAGAGCTCGCTGGTGAGGCACGACCGCCGATAACATGACCAATCGCAGGATTTCACCACCTGCGCTGTTGCTTCTGTGCACAAATGCATTCTGCAGTACATTTTCATTTAGAACTGTCGGTACGTCGCATTTATCGTACGTTCAGCGCAGTGTTACTGTAATACATGCACATCGGTATTAATTCAGCAATAGTGTGTCTGGAAGAGAAGTGTAATTTATCTTCTTTACTTCGGGAACAATTTCTCACCAGATTCCCGACACGGTCGGTTAGTCCCGCACAGTCTCTGCGACTCTGTTATTTAGAGAGAAAACTCACCAATGCCTATTCCGTCTCTCCCAGCTGGTGTCGACACTTCACAGCACAAACATTTCATCTTGTGATCACCAGCTATCGGCTGCAAGATATCATTAGGCTTACTCAGGCGCTGCTCTGTTTCTGCTGCGCCGTGGAACTTAGCCTGTAATTTTACACTTGAGTTGTTCTGGCGCTCAGTCAGAGGTGTGATCGCTGTGATTGGGGATTTTTTTTTTTTCCTGATCTTTTTTTTATTTGCAGTGAATCGCTTCTCAACAAATTGACTTCGGACACTAATTCATCTCTTCTTTTCACCCGCTTTTCCCCCTCCTACCTTTCCACCGCAGCCCCCTACAGCGTCCAGAATCTGAGTGATTCCACTCTGACCCAGCATGAGTTGGACAGTAAGTTGCGTCTCTTATCTCGGATCAACGCACTCCTCACATTATCATCGAAACCCGCTATCAATGTTACTCAATACCCCAAATGAATGAGGCTTTTGAAAACCATCTCAACTCTGCTCGTTCTAACGCGTCGAGCCGAATAGCACAACGTTTGGCTCGCTGCGAACACCTGAGGGCGACGCGACGCGACGCCGGCCCACTGAGATTCTCTCTCGGAGGCTCGAGCAGTCCCAGCCCGCTCCTTGGTTTGCTCATGTCGGCTTATTTGGATGAGCACTTCAAAAGCAGATGGCAACATATTTCTCCTGCACACTCGAAATTCTTTTCAGCGGTAAAAAAAAAAATCGGTGTTCCCCTCTGGAGTGTCAGAGCAGCACGCCGGTGAGAGATTTGCACCCTTAGTATTGCATTCCTGACTAAGACTAGTTGTTTGACCCAGCCGCAGGGGGACGGGGGAGGGGGGATGATGGATTTGGGACGGGGCGGAAGTATACTTGGGTGTCCAAAATTAGGAGCGAATGGAGATTAAATTGTTGAAAAGCAAGATTTACGAGTTGCGGTTAAACTCAATTTCTAACTTAATTTCCCTGCTTGTTTACTTTCCCCTGCAGAGCTCAGTAAACACAAGCGCTATGAGATACGCATGAGTGTGTACAACGCTGTGGGCGAGGGGCCAACCAGCCCCCCACAGGAGGTGTTTGTGGGAGAAGCAGGTAGGTACACAAACGCCGTTAACAAAATGACATCATTTATAATATTAATAATGTTCATTGTATAGTTTTCTTAATTTGTGTGATGGCCTTCAACAGTGCCCACGGCCCCCCCCCAGAATGTGGCCATTCAGTCCGCAACAGCCACGCAGCTGGACGTGACATGGGGCCCTCCGCCTGTGGATGCGCAGAATGGGGACATCCAGGGCTACAAGGTCAGATCCACACTTTGTTTCTTTATTGTTTTCATCACATGAAAATATAGCCCAGAAACCACAATAATAACTACATTTGAATTCATAGCCATCTAAAACACACCCAGGGGTCACTCCTCCGTGCTCTGTGCCCACAGGAGGCTTCGATCTGCATCCGAATGAGTTAAATCCAAGACCGCGCGGTCAGATTCACACTCCTATCCGTTTCCATTGGCGCCGCGAGCGACTCTTTCTATGGGCTTACTTTGCAATAAGGCAACAGTTCAGTTGCTATCTTTGTCTAAATATTCAAATGTTTGTTGTGGTTCACAAGAGACTACGACAATTTCATGGTAATCACCATTAAAAGCCCATCTTTTTCAGATTTAAACTCTCGCCAATTTCCACAGGGCCTTTTGATGAAAGCTCTAGTCTGTTGCTCAAGGAAACATTTGCAGGGAATAAAATGAAACTGCTCTCCCCTCAGGGGGGGGTTTTGAAACGGGAGTGAGTTTCATAGAAGCAGATGTATCCGTATTCCCCGAACGGCATCTGTCGACATGCATTAATAACCATTCACGACTCCTTATTCCGCGTAGGTCTACTTTTGGGAATTCCAGCGTAAGAATGAGACGGAGCGGCTGCGGACTCTGTTCATGCCGGAAGGAGGGGTGAAGCTGAAGAATCTGACTGGCTACACCACCTACATGATCAGCGTGGCCCCCTTCAATGCAGCGGGGGACGGACCCCGCAGCCCGCCGACGAGGGGACGCACCCAGCAAGCGGGTAGGGGCAGCAGCGATCGCTGCAAACGAGAAACACACACATGTGTTCGTGGGGGGGGAACGCGAGGGGCCAAAAGCAAACGAGGTGACCGGGCGACGCGACTGAAGCTGATGAATTAGAATCCTGTCATGTTCATTCATTCGTCTACGCGCTGGTGGTGCTGTTGCTGATGGGGGAGGAGGTGAGGAGGCTGAGTTTTTTTTGGATGAGTCAAGCATGAGGACAATGATTTGACGTGAATATGATGTCAATGGCGGCTGACAGCGTGCCCAGCGATGTTAGCCGAACATCACGCTGTGCATAAGTTGCTTATCGGCAAACCCGCTGCACTCGTTTGCAGAATCTCTTGTTTCAGGCTGAAAAGTAAACTGCGTGGAAATGTCTTACAGGCTACGCTGTTTGTACACAAGCACCGCGGCCCAACACCCCCTCCCCCACCCGTCTCCTGCAAATCATTTTTTAAACCCCTGTGCAACAGAAGCCATTTCATTTCTGGCAAATTTCGTTATTGCAGCTGGGCCCAGCAGGAAGGAACAAAAAAAGAGCATGTTCACAGCCTCTTGGTTTCTCTCCCTCTTGGGTCACTGTCACGAGAGGAGGAAGCAGATGACAAGCTGGAAGGGGGGAGCCGGGGGGGCATTGTGGAGATAGTTATCCCGTCTTTTTGGAAGACAAAAGGGGCTTTTGTTTCTCTGCAAGCGTCTCAACTTCTGCTTGACAAGTTAAAAGACAACAGAGCAGACTGTGTTTCAAGCACAGTGGTGTCACAGGCTCAGTCAGCCGTGATGGGGCCCGGGAGGGGAGAATTGTCGTCGTAGTCGTGAATGAAAGCGTGGTCTGGTTTAGGTACACATGTGTAGCCTTTTAACCTTTTGTTTAGCATATGAAAAATGTGGTGTTGAGGCACCGGACAAAGACACGGACACAAAGCAGCGAGAGCAATTTCTTGGAAGTGCAATTCTGGATCTGCAGCAAAAAAAGCCACAGAAACCTTTTTTTTTTTATATTTGGCCGAATAGACAAAAACAACTGCCGCTTTAATAAAAAATATTAAAGTACAAACAACTGCAGCTGTAACTCTCATAGGTGTATGTGGCAACTATGTTAATTTTCCAGTTATTTTGTTATAGCCTCATAGGGCAAAGATATTCTTAAAGTGGTTCCCCTGGTTACCGCAGGCAATTTTACGTTCCCTAAATGAACTATAGTTAACCATAGTTTTACAGAAGGTTATGCTAAGTTGACTAAGAAAATCGTTAGTTTCAGTTCTCAAAACTGTCTTCTTGCAAACTTTTTCAGTGCAGCTTTAAAATCTACTGCTCATATATTTGTAAGCAAGTTCTAAAAGATAAGCAATGCTGTTCATTTGTCACATTTACCTTTTTGCCATCTACACCATAGTATCTGTAACAAGTTACGTTACAGCATTTCACCGTCCATATGTCCCCTTAAAGCCTCCACAATCCCAGAAAGGTCACACATCCTTAGTTTATTAACCTCTGACCTCTGCAATTTCCAGCTCCCAGTGCTCCCAGCTTCATCCACTTCAGTGAGCTCACCACCACCTCGGTCAATGTGTCTTGGGGCGAGCCGACCTTCCCGAATGGCATAATTGAGGGCTACCGTCTGGTCTACGAACCCTGCACGCCGGTCGAGGGTGAGCGCTCATTCCTTCCTTTTCCCCTCGGCCAAAGTGTCGGCTGGCTTCTGTTAAACATGTACGCAAACACGACGAGATGTAGTAGAATTATCAATAAACTTGCAGAGACTTTGACTTCAGTTCGGATCGCTTTACCTCAGCCTGGTGTGCATTTTTCATCGCCTTGACCTTAACAGCTTGTATGCCATTGCGACCTTTAATATATCTTGTTTATCATGATTTGTGACTCCGGAGCCAGAATGTGAACGTATTTCCCTCTACTAATACCATGACTGTGTGCGTGTCTTTACCCATTTTGAGTGTGCTCCCATCTTACCTGGCCTGTGTAAGACCTGCTCTAAATGTGGTTTGTTTGTCTAGAGTCTTCAGTGGCCTGTGCCGACTGTCTTCACTCCCCCTCCCCCCCAGGCGTCAGTAAGACAGTGACGGTGGATGTGAAGGGGAGCGGCCCCCTGTGGTTGAAGCTCAGAGACCTGGCCGAAGGCATCACCTACAACTTCCGCATCAGGGCCAAGACTTTCACCTACGGCCCCGAAGTGGAGGCCAACATCACCACGGGCCCGGGAGAAGGTAGCAGACGTGATGTTTATTCACGAAAAATGGTTTTAATTCTTAACCCCGAGGCGCTTTTACGTCAACACTTGATTCTTTTTCTTCAGGAGCCCCGGGACCCCCCGGAGAACCCTTTATCACCCGCTATGGTTCGGCCCTGACCATCCACTGGACCAGCGGGGACCCGGGACGCGCTCCCATCACGCGCTACGTGATCGAGGCCAGACCTTCGGGTGGGTGCCTCGGCAGATGCCCGTGACACACAATGCGACTGCGAGCTGTGTCTCAGAGGCAAACCGTGATTCTCTGAGCTATTTATCTTACCTCAAAACGTCTGTTTTGTTCTCAAACCAAAAGCCCTATCGCATACCGCACTTCCTATATTTATGCAGCGCTTTTATTCTGATATATGTGCAAAATATGCTTATACAAGCACCCTCGAAAAAACTTTTATAGTGAAACTAAATGAAATATTCTGGCATTTGTAAAAGAGTCTTTGTAGACTGAAGGGCAAAGGACACGGGTGATCCCCACTTCAGTCTTTGATTGGTTAACCTTGCCCTGTTTTAGCCCCTTTGATGAAGAAAAGTGGTGTAAAGTGGCAACATCTGCTGCCCCGAAGTCGGTCACATCGCTATTTTAATGGGCTATTGATCGCGGCGCTGTAGTTGGGACAATTGTTGTCAGGTTTCACTTGTGATTGACAGGCCCTGACGGGGTTAAGGAAGTGATGGATGGTAGGGGACTTTCAGGGAGGGATGTGTTACACTACTTTTTAGTAAAAGACTATTAGCAACACTGTTGATAATCTCATATTGCATAAGTTGGGAAAGCGGCTTCACTCTATCCCCTCTTCCTTCTGGTCTACATGCGAAGGACTCTCTGCATATGACTTGATGACTATCTTTTTGTCCGCTTCTCTAACTTTAGCTGAAGTTTAGCAGCATGACAGATGAACTAAGAACTTAAGAGTCCAACTTACTTTGATGTAATAGTAATGTAATGAATGGTCTCTGGCAGGAGATGGGTTGTAATTGATGGGTTGTGTCATTTTTGCTGGACTTATCAATTACCCAAGTTTCATTTTCAAAACAATACTCACCCCAAACTGCAATTTTCACAGATGAGGGATTGTGGGACATCTTAATCAAGGACATCCCCAAGGAAGTAACCTCTCACACGTTCAACATGGATATCCTGAAGCAAGGGGTCAGTTATGACTTCCGGGTCATTGGGGTGAACGACTACGGCTACGGTTCCCCCAGTCTGCCTTCTCCTTCTATATCTGGTGAGCGCTCATGTATTTCATCACAGTATATTCTAATTACATGAATACATTGAGTTATTCAAACATCACGGAAATATATGGCGCGTTGCTTTTAAAAATCTAATGTTGCATTGTTTATTTTAGCCCAAAAAGTGGCGCCTTTCTACGAGGAGTGGTGGTTTCTGGTCGTGGTGGCTTTGGTGGGCCTCATCTTCATCCTGCTGCTGGTTTTCATCCTCATTATCAGGGGCCAGAGCAAGAAGTACGCCAAGAAGTCTGAATCAGGTGAGTGCAGAGAATTTAACAGAGGGCTTGGAGAAGCCTTGTACCTTCTAGTAGCATTGAGGTGGGAGGAGCCAAGGACTTCTCTATTCTCATTATTTAAGGTTTTTTAATGATTTGTAGTTTTGTGTTGTAATTTTGAATGATAAGCAGGAGAACGAGCGGATCGAAAGAGAAGCGGGTGCATACTTGTCCATTCAGTGCAGCTCTGACATCAGCGGGTATTTCCCCGAGCTCAGCACTTCTGGCATCGTTGTTCGGCTGCCAGGCGAGAGGGGGGGGGGGGTCAATGCGGGTCACTGCCCATCTTTCTGAATGACGGAGAGGAAAAAAAAACAAGCGGTTCCTTCTCACTCTCACACAAAGACGCTCTCAATGCCTCCATATTCCTCGCCAGGAGTCCGGCCCGGGCAGCAGGGCCCTACCCAGCGCGTTTGCGTAACCACGAGGTCAACCTCGTAACCACAAAGGTCAACCTCGTGGTTACGCTCCTTAGGGCCTGAGGGCAACTGATAGTGTTTTTTAGCCTGAAGCATGGCGCCTGCAGACATTAATCTGTTCGCAGAGGCTGTAAGTCCGTCACTCGCAGTTTAGTGCGTTGGCGGTTTGCGGTTTGCGTTGGCGGCCTGTGTGATCACACAGTGTCTCTGTACGTGTACCCAGGTAACACCTCCAACTGTAACGCCCTGACCCACGGGGACCTGGTCAGCCTGGACGAAGGTCGCTTCCCCGCTCTGGAACTCAACAACCGAAGGCTCTCGGTGAAAAACTCCTTCTGCCGGAAGAACGGCGTCTACACCAGGTCAGTGGACCACGGTGCTCACCGAGCAGACAATGACAAGAGCCGATTAAAGTGCTCGAAATGTAGCAAACCAATTACCGAAATATCTGCGGAAACATTCTCAAGTCGCCTCCGATTCCCTTTAAACGAGCTTCTGTACGTCGGGAATCCCAGCTCCGGGTCATGCAGCAGGCTGAGACCACCACCCTGTTAATAATACGCCTCTGAGTGACACGTGCGCTAAGAACACTGCCGGGAGTCCAATTTTGGATCCAACTGCACAGTTTGCATTAGACAACTCATGCTTGTTGAGGTGACGGATTTCGAGTGATGGCTGAAGTCGTACTGTTTCCTGGCAGTTTTGTTTTAACAAAGTGAGAGTATTTCATTCGTTTCTCTAGTGGATTTGGTGGGCAGAGATAAATGAACCAGCACCACTTGTGTGCATGAGTCCGTATGTCCATACTGTGGTAAAAAAAGACCATTATTTTGTGCATGATGACGTTCGGGGGAATTCGTTAATGTGTGTGCATCCGGCCTCGAGGACAGATCAAAGCAGCTGCAGGCCTTTGAGGAGCTTCCAGGTAGCTTCCTGTTATGTCTCTGGGCTTGAAGTGGGATGTGGAGAGTGAAAGAATGCACAGATGTACTTTCAGACGCTCCCGTCTTTGAACTCAGCACTCAGCGGAGGAACCTAAATCCCAACACCTGAGCCCTCGATTACAGATTAATGCCGCGTCTTGATCTCCGGTCTCAGGGTACCAAAGACAAGATGAATCAGAAACCCGGCATTCCTAATGCCGCTGTGTTCTCTCTAATTCAGAGCCGCGTCAGACAGCAAATGTCATTCATGTTCGATTAGGGGATACAGGGGTTTTGTCTGTGTGGAGAGTTTAGGAAAAGGGCCGATATGCATGACAGTAAATGACCATCAAACCATGGCGGGTGAGTCGACGCAGTTTACTCTGAGGGACTGAGGACTACTTAATTCATCAATGTGCCTTTTTTGGCACCGAAAGGAGGTTCAATTGACTGCTTAGATTACTTATACGTAAAATATCTGTTTCCACTTGACATCGCTGACCCGAATTGGTGAATAATCAATTCAGGTGTTATGTGTTGCTACGGTTTTATGGAAGAAGCCCAAATCCACTCAGACAGCACACGGACTTACTCACACGAGCCCCGATGTGTTGGGTTTGAGTTTTCACTGCTGGCGCGTTAAGAGGAACGGATAACGGCGTCGTTCCCGTGCAGCTTTGCGTGCCTCTCCTTCAGCGGCCTGAAGCTTTGGTGGGTGGGGTTGACGGAGGTCTCGGCGAAGTGATTCAGTGCGGATTAACATGGTTTTAAACACTGGCGAGTGACTTGAACACTTCAGACTCGGTTAATGAGTCCCTACGGGCGATTGCAGCAAAGGGGGAGCCTGATAATGAGTGTAGAGTGTAGAAGTTTGTATCGCTGGTGAAATGCTGTTTGGCCATATTAAATGGTGTCATTTATTTGTTTGAGACAATCTGGCAGACAATTACTCCAGAGTATTATGAAAGTACTAATATATTATAGGATCAACTTTATCAAGTAGTCGATTGACAGACATGTACTCAAAACTATTAAAAAATGCTTTGTCGTCATTCATTCATATGATTATTTATGTTATTACTGTATTCATGAATGCATGACGTTTTCCCTTCACCTCCAAATTCTTGCATGATCTTTTAAAATACACTATTTACAAAGTAACCTAGAAAGTAGATATCTGTCCTTTTATCCCGTATTGTACTACACCAAATGAGATGAGAGTAAAATACATTGCATCTTATTGGGGTAGGATGTCAGCTCAGACACGTGGCTGCACTCCTGAGACTCTTGAGTTCCTTTGAACATCTGCAAACAGACACATGACACTGATCCGCCACCTGCATTGTGTTGTTTACAAGAACTCAAGTAAATCATAATATCTATAATTATAATATAAACTAGCCCATCATGTAAAATTAAATTAAAGCTGACTTTGGGATCTCTTTGTGGAGTTTTCCATTTTGCCCACACCAGCCTCACAACACTACTTGTGAAGACTGCTGGAATTCATCCAGGACATTTTTGAAACGTTTTCAAAGTTTCATTTATTTGGAAAAATGCTAATGTGGTTACGAGCTGCAAAGCGAGCGCGTGCGTGCGTGCGTGTGCTGCGGTGGCGGCTCCGCTGGCAGCGGCAGGCGGCCGGCCCCGTACCTGGAAAGTCAACAGGAGCCGGCAGGTCCCGGTGGTCTCAGCCAAACCGGCACCAATCAGCAGAAACAGATGGGTGTTTGTTTAGCGGGACCAGCGACGGTGGAAAGCACCGACGAGCTTATGGCACCAACACTTTTATCTCCCCTCCTATTTATTCAAAGTACCCCTGACTAGAGAAAACCATTTCGGGGAAAGTTTTTCCAGCATTTCATCTTTTTCTCCCCACCTCATCACCTCTCCACGACCCCGTCTTTGCTCCGCGCTCCCTACTCGCCGCAGTCGAACATACAACATGACATATTTGATCGCCGCAGGATGCCGCTGTGCAATGGTTCACGTGGGGACTGGGAACACTTACCAGAGCAAAGCCTGAGGCTTCCATTTGTTTACTGACCCCTTGAGCACGGCGAGAGTTCAGCGTATGATTTAAGCACAAGGGCCCAGTAGGTTTTGACGTTCCACAGCCTGCAGAGAGGACTGGATGGGAAGGGGAAGGGGGGGTTTATTCATTCCAGGAGAGACTGGATGAAGGGAGCCATCTCATGAGTGTCCCGCCAGCTGTACTCCTACACAAAGACAGTGAGACAGTGAAGCACTTAATGCCGTGTCTCTGAGAGAAAGAGGGAGGCCCAGAGTGAGTGCATGCCTTTGCTTGTGTAACAAAGGGTGATTTAATATCATTTTTGAAAGCAGAACTAACTATTTTTTAGTTTGCCCTTCCAAGTAAACTACATTGTTAAAACTAAAATGTCATAAGGTGAGATAGGAATGACGGCAATAATACTAATAAACTGAAATCCTCCTTGGATTTCCTTAAATGATTTCAAATGGTTGTCTTGGAATGCCAAAGTCAATGTAACAAAACGAGGAGAGAAAACAAACTGAATCCTTCTAACAGTCCGTCTTCATCCCCACCCAGGTCTCCTCCTCGGCCCAGTCCGGGCAGTCTTCACTATTCAGACGAGGACGTCAGCACAAAGTACAATGACCTGATCCCTGCAGAGAGCAGCAGCCTGACTGAAAAGCCCTCCGAGATCTCAGACTCACAGGTGCAGAAGCAACTTCTCTATTTACAGCATCTCCGTGTGTAAAACAAAAAACCTCCTCCGTCCGTGTGCATTGGGTGTGTATCTGTGATATGTTTGTACCCGTCTGTGTCTGTGCACACTCTCATCCCCTGCAAATTCTGCTTTTTTTTTGCATCGTGGGCTGCGCGCACAGTGTGTCTTTTCGTGTCAGCTCATTTTCGTCCACGTGGCGTCCTTCCTCTGTCATTCACCTGAATTCCATCCGGCCCGCGGAGCTCACGAGAAGCGGCGCATTAATGCACACGGAGGAGATGAGAGATTAATGACTCGAGCAGTTTTCAGACCAGCCAGCGGCGCGTGGAGAACGTCCAGATGCGATCCAGGCCACCGCACTCCGCCTCGGCGCTCGTTATGTAAGGCAGCGAGAGCTAGTTACGTATGAACAGGCAGCCGATCCAACTCCTGAATGTTTCTGCAGGTCAGAGTCAGCAGAAGTTACCTCTGAGGGAAAACTGAAACACTGTGTTGGCTTTTCACTCCTCTTTTTTGTGTCAAAACATATCCTCATTAGCTCTGTAGGGCGTCGGGTATCTTGGTTTTTAATCTTTTTTGAGTTCCAGGGTTCCTGACAGACACTGTCGGGAATGATAAATGAACAAGCACTGTTAGAGTGTGGCGAACTTGTGGCATTTGTTATGTGCCGCTTTGGCCCAGTAAGTGAGTACAATCGATAAATTCTGACTTTCTCTCCGTATCTTTCCATCGATCAGTCTGCCCTCGTGTCTCTGATTTACCAACTATTTCCATTTCCTTTCGGGATTTCCCCTTACATGGTCTTTAAACTCATCTGATCTGATTTTGTCCTCTGATGTCTTATATGCACCTTTGCTTCAGATTCTCTGTCCATGGCGACTTTCCTACCCGGCTCTCCCTGGTTTGGGTGAACCATCCGCAGTGTGCAGTCTGGTTTTGATCCCAGTCAGATGAAAGCTTCAGGGGAGGGGGGTTAGTAGTCCCGGCTTCCCTTGCCTTCAAGCTTCCTTCAGTGTTGTCTTTCATCCAAGAACTCTTGACACTGGGTGTTTCTCAAATTATCTTGGAACATCAACTAGCTACGTGTGAATTCCGCAGCACAGACGTCTCTCCCCACCAGGCCTTATCGGGACCTAAGTCCCAGTTCTAGATTACCAACAATGAAACGTTAAGGACAGGACCTTTCCGCGGCCCGATAACGTCCCTCGTATGAAATGATTTCGTCGTTTCATCGCCCGTCTGACATATCTACCGTTCGCACTTGTGTATTGTCAAACACGGCCGTAATGCAGCAGCTGCCCGCCCCCGCCATGCGACGACGCCGACGCCCGTCCGCTGCCGCACTGCACATTCACGGGCGGCTTTTGATGGGCCTCCGCCACACAAAGCCCTGCCTGTTACCCTGCGGCCAGTCCGCCGTGCCCCCCCCCCCCGACAGGCCGCCACATCAGCACCCGGTGGGGCTGCGGAAGAATCCAGGAATGCTCTTTGAAGTTTTATTGAGCGGATAAGTCTAAGCTATCGGTGTCACATTGTGCTGTCTGTCCTCTTTAATCCCTGGGGGGTGGAGAGGAGGACGGGGAGAGGGGCCCCCCAAGTTTAAAGCTGGCTTTTAGTGATTATACTCTCGACTCTCAAAATTTGAGTACATGTCACGTGAATGAGATTGGAGTCTTGGCCTGTACCCCACCCTCAGATGAGTTCCTTTACTCTAATGTACAGGTTTTCACTAACGTCATTATGTGCCGAAAACCAGTCGAACACAGATGATCTCATCTCATCTATGAGTCGGCATTCCGTGGGGAGGGAAAACGAAAAAAATGTCCTGCTTTCTGTTACGTGCTTTCACTTCCTCTCGTCCTATCTGACTCTGTTCATCTCAATCTTTCTCCACCCTTCTACGCCTTGTCACCCCGGTGGTGTGGCTTTAGTGTGGCAGTGTGGCTTTATTCGTGTGGCGAGGGATCAACTGCGATGTGCGTTCTGTTGTGCTCGGGTCGACTCTGGTAACAACGAACCCTTTTGTTTTGACTCGCCCAGTCAAGGAAAGCAAAATCATGACCTACAAATGAATAACTAAATAAATATTTCATGTTGAATCACTTTAAGGCGTGGGTGCAAAACAAAGGGCAGTGGCTAGAGACAGCAGTGGGGGATGAAAGGAGGAATTGCAAGATATTAATTAGCCCCACATAGTCCCTCAGCCTGCAGGACGGGGCCGCGACACAAGCACATGCTTCCATTACTCTCATTCATTTCCAGCGTCCTCTGACGCGCGACAACGGCTCAAATAGTTGTTCCTATTGCAGCGACATGCACTACAGCAGTGATAGAGGAGCGCAGCTGCTAAGGGGCCTTGATGAGGACAAAGTACGACTTTACTTTAGTGTGCTGAAAACACGGCAACGCAAGGCCTCTCTTTCCTCTACTCTATTCCTTTTTTTTTTACTACACAGAAATTGCCAAAGGCGCCGAAAAATGTGAATACTCTGGAATTTCTCTGGACTCGCAATTCCCCTCGAGCCCCACGTCTACTGTCTTTGTCTGCGGGGACCCCTGCTGTGTTCGCTTCATCACTGAGAGTGACACAGACAGCCCCCCCCCTTCCTATCCCCCCCTCCTCATTGCAATAATCCATAACTAGAGGACAAAGGACTGACCCACTCTGTGTAAGCATCAGTTGGGAGGAGGGGGGGGGGCAACGCTGGCCAGAAGATTGTTGTTTCCGTCTCAGGCCATTATTTAAACCACAGGAAATCAACATAGCACATTTAACTTTTGGTAAAACTGCTTTGCGGGACATCTTCAGACATCAGCATAGATCAAAATAAGAATCCCTCATATGACGGCGTAGTGGGGCGCTGTGTGAACAAAGGTCAAAGTTCACGGGATCTCTAAAATGACCAATTTATCTCCATCAAACTGTCATTGCGTCATTACTTATTTTTCCCTCTCCGACATTGTTCTCCCCTCACAAGGTTAGCATTTGAAAACAGGGCCACTTTATTATTCGGATGGTAAAATAAACTACTGTCGAGAGATTTCACTAATTGGATAGATGTCTTAATCGCTTTCTCCGCCCAATTTAACATCATAACGATGTAAAAATGTGTAATAGTTGTCACTGGCAGGCTGGTATGTGTCTGTCTTACGTAGCATCGCATACTTAAGCTGTTGTTTCCCTTGAGGCTGAGGTGCAAATGCTGCATTTCATGCCTTAAAGTCTCTTTCGTGGTAAGTAATTAGCTCGTAACGAGTTGAAGTTAAGGAGCTGTTTCGCAGGCCGCGCCGCCCCTGAGGCGAATTATTAAAGCATCTCCACGGTCGCGTCCTCGATCGGATCCTTGAGTTATGTCCGTTAAAGAGCGATCGTGAACCGAAAGCAATAGTGGGCCGGGTTGCGTTGGTTTCATACTTATAACGTAGAACATCTGAGAAGTCTGGAAAACTGTGGCGCGCACTCAACAGCCGAGCAGCCAGGCAACACACACACACACACACACACACACACACACACACACACACACACACACACACAAACGCAGTGTTTCAGCTCTCAATGCAGCGTTCATTACTTCAGTGAGGTAATACCAAGCGGCTCGCTGCGTCTTCTTGGCCCACAGTGAATGGATCTCGTTGTGGGCGTGACGGCGTTGCCTTTTCAACGCTGGTTGGCCTCAAGTATTTACAACCGGGGAACAATACACAGGCACTAATGCATCTCAGACCTCTGCATTACTTATTGAGAGGAACAGCAATACGAAACAAGTCAGACGAAAATAAAAGATTCCGTTTATGGTGATCCCAGTCTCGCTATACATAATGTATGCCTTTGATTAGTTTGGGAGGAAAATAAGATTATAGGGCTCAGGGGATACATTTCTTTTTTGTTTATTACCAAAGAACATTAAAAAAAAGCAGGATATTCAATGCAAGGCCTTTTTGGACATTAATAAACTCTTCTAACAGCTAAAAGAGAAAAGTCCTCTGAACGGAGACATGCGCCGCGCTGAGGCTGAGCGGTAAACTTGAGCCCGGCCGCCACATGCATCACACGTGTGCGATATCCAGCTGTGCGCCAACAGCCACGTTCCCGTGTGTGAGGCGATTGAACATGATAAAGTGAAGAGTGAGGGATGTAGAACGTTGCGACAGTCACGGTTACCTGCATCAATTTCGTTGTGTGCTCCCCTGAAAAGAAAAGGCTCGGTGACAATTTTGTTAGCGTTGACAGTGTATTAGTTCTGTGTGGCCAGGTGATTAATCACAGGCTAGTTGGGCAATCGGCAGCTTGCTTTTCGAGGCAATTAGTTGGCCGCGAGCAATATCCACCGAGGGCTCAACGATCACATCGCCTGTCGTTCGACGCGTGCCGTGTTACTTAACGCGACGGTGGGGAAGGATCGGTAGCAAGAATGTACTCCGGGTTATTGTCATTTCTTCAGCGGTGGTCACACCGACTTAAAGAATGAGGAAAATAAAAGTAATGTTTGACTGCACTGTTTATTTTTTATTTTTAGCCTTTTGCAAATCATTCACCCGGAATGGCACGAGCGACCTATACATATGTATGACATATCAATGATTAGCATCGTCATGACTGGGCCATTTGAATCATTCTGTTATGGTGATGTACTGTAAAACACATTGTTTTGTTCACCCATAGGAGGCGCTGGTGTTTTCATATGGGACAGGTGGCCTACATACACTTCCACTGCATTTGGTGAGGTTCCTGTGGCTGTCTGCTTTGAATGTTTGTAGCCTGGTGACAGGTTCCTAATGCCCGTCCCCATCAAATCCTTCCCTCAGATTCCCATTACGGGTTTTATGTGGTACACTTTGCTGCACAACACCAGAAACCCGTCTTGCTGGCGTGGTGGGGACACAGAGATCTTAGATCCTGAACATACCGATTAAGTCCAGCAGATTAAATTGACCTTTGCCCTCTTGTGTTGATGATCCAATGCACGCTTCAGTAAGAAGTCACCACTTCGTCATCATGCTTTGACCATGTTTGGTGTCCATGTGTTCTTGTGCCGTGTAGTAGCTGTGAGTGTGTATGTGTGTGAGTGCGTGTGCATGTGCGTGCTGTTCAGACTGGGATGCCAGTGAATCGACAACCCTTCTCCAAATCACTCAATAACTTCATGTTCATCTACATTTATAGTTTCAGCATCTCTAACTGCTCCAGGTGGAAACACCACAGAGTCGCCGCATGCTAACTCCGTACGCTAAAGTCTCCTCCGTTGTGTCTTTCTGTCACAGGGCAGCGACAGTGAGTACGAGGTGGACCCCAACCGACAGAAGACGCACTCCTTCGTCAACCACTACATAAGCGACCCCACCTATTACAACTCCTGGCGCCGCCAACAGAAGGGCATATCCCGGGCACAGGCCTACAGCTACACCGAGTCCGAGTCGGGCGAACCGGATCACTGCGCCCCGCCGCCACTGCCTCCTCTACCCCCGCTGCCCCCGCAGCTCAGCTCGCCCGGCCCCCAGCTCAGCTCGCCAAGCCCCCTGCCCCAGCAAGCCCAGGGCCAGCCTCAGTGCCCGCCTCAGGTCCCGCCTCAGGGCCCGCCCCACGGCCAAGGCAGCCTGTTCAGGCCCAAAGGTAGCCGGACTCCGACCCCGTCCCAGCAGAGCTCCAACCCGCCCAGCCAGCACAGCACCCTCTACAGGCCCCCCAGCAGCCTGGCGCCCGGCTCGCGGGCCCCGATCGCCGGCTTCTCCTCCTTTGTGTGAAAATGCTGGAAAGGACATCCAAACCTCTGGAAATATCGACCCACCTCGCGTTGAAGGAGAACGCGGTCAACCCATTCACGTCATTTACGACTTTCTTGCTTTTGATTACGTTTAGTTACATTTTTTTTTTACATGTTACCGTTCTGCAGTCGGTCTGGATACACGCGGAACAACACTTTGAGAGTTTTTGGAACACTTGTTTATGGTTTAATGTGTGGAGGTGTGCCAGTGTAGAGTTTTACCACCAGTTGCTAACACTCATCTTCTTGCTTTTATTTTGCTATTTGAATGAAGTATTTGCATGCATGACCTTATGACCTTTTTTTTTGTCACATTTCTTTGGAAAACATTCAAATGGTAATCTCTTTGATTCCGTGCAACGTTACAAGAATCTTTAACAAACACATGCATATAAATATATATATATATATATATAAACATATATATAGTTGATGTACCTTAAAATCTAAATCACGTCAATGCAGAGTTTTCGTTGATGGGGATTGAAAAAACAATACGATGGAGCCATATCTTGGAAGCGAAGGTTGTGTGTTTGCTTGGACTGGATGAACTGGATTTTAATGTGTCGGCCGGAAGAGTCATTAGCGGACATTGGCGAAACAATCATGGGTTTCCATGGAAACAGCCCTCTAGCACACGACACACTAATGCATAGAAAGATGTGGCCACCGGCCGTGGCAGGTCGGATGTCAATGACTGTGCCGTGCCCTGAGGGACCCTGCAGATATATGAAATGAGTGTATATCTGTTAAAGTCAAAGTCTTTAAATCGTTTCTGTGAGTGTGTTAAAAGTGGATCAGAGATGCCTTGATAGAGAAGCAATTATTTATGATATCTGGTACTAATTGTTTCTGAAACTGCTGATGTGCCCTTGACTGCGGCATCGTAATGGCCGCCCGCTCGCTCCGGCAGACCTTTCCATTTGAACCCTGACAGATGTGGGCTGCGAATTTGCATTTGCATTCACGACCCACATTCATTTGAACCCTTTGCTGGCTAACATATGCACACGTCAGCCTCAATTCAGCATACGGCTACCCGACCGCTTCGAAGTCCGACCCGAGAGCCTCAGAACTTTGTAAAGAGGACTGGCACGGTCACACATGTGGGCACAGCTGCCGGTTCTGCTAAAGTGTTAACAGTGATATTTTGATGAGAAACAAAATCTTTTTTTTTTTTTTTTTTGTTCTTCTTCCTGTTTCCTCCCCGCTGGTGTAACTCTTCTTCGTCTCTGACTCACAATCACGGGTGGCGGCGCGGAGCCCCGCTCCCAAGAGATGATTTCATTGAATTGCCTCACCTCTTTCCCCTTTTGTGTAATCAATCACGCTGTACTATTCAGGTGTGACTGTATTGTCCCAAAATGCTAATTGCGTGTATGTGTGTGTGTGCGTGTGTGTGTGTGTGTGTCTGTCTGTGTGCGTGCGTGCGATTACACGTCTTGTGCATAAGCTTTACAGATCATTCACTGTGTGTCTGGTTATAAAGAGATGGTCCTGCAGCAGCTGTAAACCTGCCTGGAGTAACACCACAGAGGGCCAGGCGCACTCATAACGCTATAGTGATGACTCAGTGGTGTGTTCCTAGTTTTCATAGTTAAAAAAACAACAAAGGAAAAACAACAAACAAAAAAAAAAAAAAAATCACCTTTTTCTTTTTTTTGTTTTTTTCTTTCTCTGTGGGGTGATTTCATTGTACGCAACAAAAAGCTTATCATGCAGGATCTGAATGGATATATGATCACAGTACATTTCTGAAATAAATTATTTTTGAATGTTAGCATCGTCTGGTGCTCAACTGAAAACCGTACACATGAGGGGTGTGGGGGGGTCCACCTTCGCCACGACCCACATGGCTGTTTTCGTGGCGGCACCGCAGGAGTCCGTCGCTCAGGAAAGAATGAATGAAATGAAAGAAAAAAAGAAACGAATGAACACAACATCCGCACGCTGATGCCACGGCAGTGGTTGGTTCACTAATGACGGGAGGAAAGAGCGATTGCCTTGATGTGACTCCTCACTCCCTCTGAGCAGTAAATGAAAGAATGTAAACCGAGGGCTATTTTTCTTCGTCTGCGTGCGACTTTAATTAGTGTTTTCAGGTGAATCGTGAATGTGTGAGACGTCGTGTCACAAAAAGCGGCTTTTCTTTTGATAACAAGTCACGGAGACATGAAAGGGAAGCTTGCCTTTTTGAACACGCAGGTCTGTCTGTGGCTAATTAGTTGATGAAATTCCACCTAACCTTAGTGTTACTCAGGGCAGCAATAAATTGGATCAGTGTAGATGCTGTGAAATCCTGTTATCTGGTTACAAACGTCCCCTCCGGACTTCTTCGTCTCCCTCTGTGCTGCGCTGCAATTCATTAGATCATCATTTGTCCCTCGTCGAATAATCTGGCTCAGTTGGACCTTTTTGAACCCGTCAGACTGCACGTAAAGCTACATGTATTTAAGGCGAGAGCAATGTGTTGTAAAAAGCACCCCGAACTCACAGAGATGCACTTGCACGACAGACGCACATGCACAATGTCAGGCGGTGTTACTCGCTAATTGGATCACATTGGAACTTGATCCAGGGCTAACCTACTAAACGCATGGGCACGAGGAGAGAGGAGATTAGAAGGGACGGGACTGAACAGGGAACTGGAACGAGAGCGTCCAGGGCGTGCTAATCCCTTTTTTTTTCCGAAAACACATGGTAAATTTCCCCTCGCGGACGGGAGGCCTTTCCTTTCTGTCTCTCTTTCGCTCTCCCCCTCGGGAAATGAATGACAGGAGCGAGCGTGCCGGTGGTCCCTGTTAAAAAGGCGGCCCGCTGTACTTAACAGCCCCGAAGAAGGTTGAGAACCCACAGTTAGAATGGTAATGGGTTCAGACAGAAGGTGCAGTCCAAAGGAGCTTCAAACGCTGATTTTAATTGCCTCATTTGTGAGCTTCACTGAGGGGGGGGGTTTGGTGACATGAATCTGATATGCTGGCTGTTGGAGAATATCGACTGCTGTGTGCTTGAATTGGTTTTTGACTTTTAGATGACAGTATTTCCATTGGCAACCTCTCACCCTCCCTCTTCTTGTAGTTTGAATGGACACTGGCTGCCACAGAGTGTGGTTGGAGCAAGATGTACTTATAGGAATCTGAGGCAATGGAAAATTGCGACATAAATTGACTGAAATTGTTGCATGAACTCGTTCGCTCACAACTATTTTCATCGCTGTTGGTTCGTCCACTTGGTTCCACCAGAAAAAAAGAAAATCTCTCGTGCCCTACTTTCTCACTGTAGCCTTTCCAGGCCAGATTATGTAACGTACAACACAAAGCCACACAAGGAAGCAATAATTGAATGAGGGGCCCGCTTCGAGTTTTTTTGTCCTGCATAGTCTCACTGAGGTTTCCCATGAAACTCTGCACCCCTAATTGGTCCATTGTGTATTATTATATGCCCTAATCATATTGACAGATGGGTGAACAAGGCTTCAGAGTAACAGGAGTTAAAGTTCACACCTGAGGAAGAAGCTCCTTTCTACATGACATTAATAAGTAAAATCATTAAAGGCTGTGAGCTGGTTTTGGGGAGTGTAAAATTAAAGGCACTCGTTTAATCTGGAAGTTGTCAAAAATAATTGGAGTAAAGTGCACAGTAGACCCTGTAGACCCTAATTATCATCTTGGCTATTATAAGTCCATGCTAATATAAATCAATGAGTGCTACCTTGCTGTACAGTTGCCCTATAATGCTGCAAATCATATGCAGAAAGTACATTAATTCCAACTGAATATTTGAGGCTCCAAATTTCGTATTTCTGTCTTGTTGCATACATGAGAAGGAATATGGTTCACAATCATAGAACAACATGAAGGAAGAAACCCTTCACAACACCCAGGATTAAAAGTTCATTTTAAAAACAAAGTCTACTGCATGAAGGAGAAAAGTTCAACCCTTTGGGTTTTGACTGGATTGGAGATATTAAGCAAAAAAGTAAAAAATTTTAGATAAAAATGCCTGGATTGCCAATCTTCTTCATTCACAAACAGCACCGTTCAATAAAAAAACAACTTCAATAAAAAAATAAATAAATCCCGCTTTAAATGTCCTACTGCTTTGTGCTGTTCGCCCAAATATTTAAAGATCCTGTTTAATTGCCATTGGCCCTCGACTGAAGGGCCCGGGGGGGCGCCGCCAAGTTGAAGTTGTGCCTACTGTCGCGTGGTGCCTGTAAAATAAAGGGCGCTCTGTCCCTTTAAACCGCAGCGGGGGGGAGGAGGAGGAGGAGGAGGAGGGGGAGGGCGGCCCGGCCGCTTTGTGCGCCACACACATGCAAACTCAACGGACATTGGAGCACCAGCGTCCCAACGTAACTCCGCCGCCCGGCTCCCACTTTCCGGGGAAGTTTAAGCGGAATTAAGACCCTGAAAACTTCCGCCGTCGCTCGGCGGAAAAAAGGTAACTGCGTTTCACCGCGTTGTTGTTGTTGTCGTCGTCGTCGTCGTCTACGTCACACTTATTTTAAAGTCCTTACACGAAGCCCCGTTCGGGTGGAGTCGGTGTGTCTTAGGTAGTTTCCACACAACTCTGGACGCTTCGGTCAGAGAAGTTAAAAAAAAAGGGAGAAAATGGCGTGAAAAATCTCATTTTGAACGTGAAGCCCTGCGCGTGCCCGCTGCAGCGCCGGCCTGTCCCACATGGAGGGACAACCGTGTCCTCCATCCCAGGAGAGTTGAGGGACACACAGTCATTGCACTGTTTACCTTCCTGGGGGGGTCTTCTTCTTCTTCTTCTTCCTCTTACTTCTCACCCCGAGAAACGATGCTACTTGTGCTACTTTCTGGTCTCTTTGTCTTTCTTTAGTTTCAGGATCGTCCTCATGGGATCTGAGCTCAAAATGTAAAACCGTAATTGACATGAGGAGACATTAACCTGTTTTTTTTTAGATAGTAAGGCCAGAGCTTCAGTAATAGCAAGTCGTTAATCTGGCGAATGGGACAAGGGAAATAAAGTTATTCCACATGTGGGATCCCCATTAAGCGTCTTCCAATGACCCCGTGGACTCAAAGTACAACGCTAACACAATCCCTGTTTTAATGAACGTCCGGTTTGACAGATGCTGGTTGGTTGGGAGGCTGAAGACCCCGCGTCCCAGCATCAGGCCGGGGGTACGAGTTTGTAATCGGATCGCGTGGATCTGCCTTAAAAAGCCCCCCAGTTCTCCCCAGTGAGCCGTCACACTAATATGCTCCCCGGGGGACGTACCCCACCCCCCCCACTCGCCAAACTGTCCACCAGCGAGTCACTCCCGTTTGTGTTTCCAGACCGGCCTCTCACGCCTGTTGTGCCTGATGAACTGGGTCATTCACTCTTGAATATACCCCCCCCTACACACACACACACACACACACACACCTATTCTCGCTCATCAGGCCCAGGCCGTTTGTGTGTGTGTGTGTCTGACCATAAAGGCCCGTTTAATAACTCTTCCTTTTAATTATTCCGTCCTGTAAGTAGTCCAGCCCTCGGTCTTGTTAAGCCGCCGGCTCGGACAAAAGCAGGAGGACACATTGATTAATGGGCCCGCCTTTGGTGCGGTCTTTCTACCTCTGTTGCCCTTTGACCCCCAGACTCTGAGGTCAGTCGGTAATGTCGCTTTGCCAGATGAATGGCTCCTCCCGACAGCGTCTCGCGTCAGCGCGATAAAGGAGGAATGAAGTGTGTCTGTGGAGGCCGAGGTCAGACGCCCGCAAGATCACCGTCCCAGAGGCCGGCGCCGTCCGAAGGGGCAGCGCTCTCCCGCTCGCTCCGGGCCCCCCAGCTCCAGTTTCTCCTCTTCGGTGCGGCAGCTTTATCTCTCCATCAAGATGTAACTTGTGTGCTGCCGAGTCAGAGAAGGGGAGGGGGAGGGAGGGGGGGGGGGTGCTTGTGTGTGTGTGTATCATCTCTCACCCACTGCTTTTTTTATTGCTATTTCCCTCTGAAGGATACTGCTGCGTAGGGAGGAAGCTGGCTACCTGCCCGACTGTGACGCGCTGAGGTCATTCCAGGTTGTCTTTTGTGGTTTAACTGTGGAAAGAGTGAGTGGGGGGCTGGGCGGACTCATCTGCACTCTGTGGATAACTTCAGGCGCTTTCCCTCAAGCGCTTGATTCACATCCAGCGAGGCAGCATTTTAAATCGTGTGTGTGTGTGTCCAGTTGTCTGTAGTAAGTAGAAGGTCTAATGTACGGATTATTCACTCCTCGGTCAATTGATTCGCCGGCTGGCGTCAGATGTGACTCGCGGTGCGTCAGACGTTCTTGTTGGCTTCCCTCAGGAAAAGGTTGGCGCCCGTTGTAATCCACCGGGCTTAATCCCTGTGCTCCGAAGGAGGCCGCCAGGGCGCGATGGGGACGGCGCCTTGACCCTCTGGTCGTCTTCTCTGCGATTACGAGGGCCGCTCAGAATGTCGCGTTTCAGCCGTCGTCGCCGTACGTGGAATCCGCTCCGAGCCGGATTTAAAATAGCAGCTGTGATGTGTAGAAAAAGGAGAAGAAAAACCACCTCACTTATTGGAATATGGTTCTATTATTGGACGCGTTTCAGATGTGCAGAGCTCCGAGGCCATGAAGCCTCCCTGTTTCTGAATTATTAATCCCGTCAAAGGTGACGGATGTGTAATTTTTCCAACTGTTGGAGCTGGAAAGCGTCAAGGCTGGCGTTGAACTCCAAGAGGAGGCTTGTTTAGTCTCAGACAACTTCAGCATTCGCTCGTCCTGCCAAGACGACGACGGCGGCGCAGCAGCAGCAGCAG